TAAGAATGCATAACAATTACGTACACAGAAATATATCCATTTATATATATATATATATATATATTATATATATATATATATATACATTAGTACTACATGTATTAATTCAATCAATAATTTTATATCATTTTTTTATAATCGAGTTTTTTCGAGCCTTAATTTGTAGACCTGTGCCGGTATTAGATCACCAACAATGTGACGTCACAGACAACGGCTACCATGCGAATTTCGCGCGAATTTCATTGGATTTTTGCTAGAAATAAATTTGTAAATTCGTAAAATCGATTTTACGCTAGAATAAAGGTGTAGATGTTGGACGAATATTTGTGAAGATTTATTAATGAATTTTTAACAAATGCAGTTCTTTTACTCGTCATCTTCATTGTTTAACTATTCATGTTAATAATTATTAAAACTAAAATAATTATTATTGAACTTAAGTTAACTTAAGTTCAATTATGTAGTAAATTCAAATGGAATAAAAAGTAATCGGAAAATGAGATGAAATTGACTTGAACCGAATTTAATATTTTCACTTTTAGTGCAAATAGTAAAACAGCGTTTATTCTTGTAAGCTCATTTTTCTCACATGTTGTAATTCAAAAAGAATTTATTTTGTTCACAATTATCTAGCTTTCTTTAAAATATTCGATATGTAGTTAGGACAACGATTGCCTCTTAAAGACACCTAGCTAAGAGGTATTACAACACCTTACACGAGAACAAAATTACTGTGAAAAGTCGTCTTAGTAATATTTATAGTAAATTACTTAGAAAAGCACATGGACGACCCTTTGCTTATATCCTAATGATGTTTCTACCTTCTACTTACTTATTGCTTCTCAAACTATAGTGCAATTTTGAAAAACATGAACAAGAGTGATTTAGGTAATAAAATGATAATTTACATGCTCAACACATGTCTCTTTGTGCGAACATTCCTTATATGTATGCACGCACACACACACATACTATTTAATATATATATATATATATATATATATATATATATATATAAAATATTATTATTTTATATATGTTTTCACTTAAAAAACGCACCTTGGGTATCTTTAAAATACCGTCGTTATAAAGGTTACTAACTAGTTAAACAGTTATAAATAGCTCTAAGCTATATAGGCTAGCAAGTTTCTTCAAATAGTCACTTATTTAATTGTAAGATAAGTAGATTTACCTAATTGGTTATAATTAGCGGTCTATAATAAACAGCAAGTAATTAGGAAGGTGACAAATTATTTATAAATAGTTAAAGGTTAGCTTTAAATAGTACTGTTAGAAATTATTGCAGTTGAATCTAGTTATAATTAGTATCTTATTAGTTATATAACGCTTGTGTAATTTGTATTACGAAACCATAATAATAATTACATCACTAATTGGTAGATTAGGTTTGCAACTTTGCATCGTATACTTCAAATTCGAACTGGAGATGAATAATTGATTTGCGAGGTTAACTCAGGCTGAGAATATTTATCAAATAAAGCTGTAATTAATGTAAATAATATGTTGATTAATTCTTTCACCAACATTAATAATTGATTTCTTATTTTAATATTAACTCACAATGTTATTTGCCATTAAAATTTGAATTTCGCGGTATTAATTTTTAGGTGATGTCTCTAATTTGTATCAATGAAACATAAACAATTTATAAGATATCGAAATGGGCATGCAGTTTTACAGCTAATAAATTAATGTGTATGCTAAAAGTTATAAAATACATAAGCATTTTTGATAAATAGTAAATACGTGATTAAAATATCTATAATCAAAAAATTACTAATTAAAATATATCATTAATTATGCACGATACAGTCCAATCAGCTGATTGAGTAGGTACAGTCATTCATCGAATTCTGTCATTGAAAACAAACATTTCCTTAACATATTACTTTTATTTTGTTTTCATATAATTCATGATAGTTTTATTGATAAAACTAGTTATCGATTTTGCGACAAATAGCTCTTGAAATTTATTTGGTATTAAATAACCATTTTTTTGAATAAAGCGATGAGTTAAAAAATAGTAATGATTTAAATCATTTCGATTAAGTTATTAAGTTTTTAATATTCTAATAACATAATCCGGTTGGAAAACTTGTTTGCTCATAAAATTGTTTTAAAATAGGGTTCTGATATATTTTGCTTTCTATTTATAATTTTGTTAAAACTACATTCACTTGGTATATTTTTATCTGCACGCTTTGTATCTGTCTTATAAACAAAGAATGCTCATAACACGTTAAATAAACATTAGTTTGCTTCGCTGCAAATTTTACAATATGTAAATTACTTTTAAAATTGATGTTTTTACAATTTTATGTATACACTAATACTGGAATTAATAATATCAATTAATACACATAAGTATTCGTGTAACTAGTATTAAAGACACATGCAGAAATGCAGAAATCAATGCACTTATCCTGATAGTTCTTTAATTGAATTTGTCACAGAAAATCAACCATCAAACTTACGTATTTCAACATTTATGCTAGTACTTTTCTTCCTTCAAATCACCGTCTTGTACGTGATACAGGCATTCATTTATATAAATACATTAAAATATTTAATATTTTCGTTTGATTAACTTTTATTACGATCTCATTACTTTTTATTTTCTAAAATATAGATTTTTTTTTAATTTATATAGTAACACCAAATTAATGAAAACAATTACCAATTAAACTAGTATATTATCAAGTTTCCTTATCAAAGAAATATTAACTATTCTCATTACAATCCTGTTTCTCATGATACGTTTGCCGGAACTTGAATCGGACTGCAGATCAATTTTAAGAGATTTTTAAGTATGACACGTAAGTACTCGTACTAATATAAAAAACTAGTGTTGCATGGCATCGTGCCTTAGGCTGAAACTTCCCGTACTAGAATTAAATACTCCACAGTAACAATAAATATTGATTAATGATTAATAACAATTGTTTTATCTATTTTCAAATAGATAAATATACTATATACTTTATCGCTCATATTATATAGCGACGATCTTATCGCTTAAAACACTTGAAAATGTTTACATTAAAAAGAGATGCGGAATGAATCTATCTGAGGATATATTTCTTACGATTAGAATTATTATGGAAATTAGAATTTTCTATAAATTAGAAATTTATATTCAAATATAAAACTTTGTATATCTTTGAAAATTTTGAAATAATTTTTTTTTCTGAAAATTTTGATATTTGTTTGAACCGTACAAGTGAACTTTAAAAATTAAAAATCTTCGTACCGGACCCAAATTAAAAATAGTAACAAAATTAGTACTCATTTTTAAAATATTTATAAAATACCTGATAATTTGATGAACATATGTCTGATGATCATTTTTGACTGCCAACTATTTTATTTTTTTACTTTTTTCTCTGTATCTTCAAAACCGCTAGACCTACCCTTCCAAAAATTTAATCAATTCTTCATTTCGTCAATATAAGTAAAATGTTTTTTGAATCAAATTGCGCGCTTCGTTCTCTCAAAAACTGAATTACCGTCTTTGGCACCTTTTGCACCGTATCTTTGATATGGCTAGACATGCCTTTGCCAAAAACTAATCAGCACGTCTCCTTATCGATAGGAATCGAATGTTTTCTTAATCATTCAAATCGGTTAATCCGTGCGGCCGAAATCGTGGAAGAAAAATTGTTTCCAAATATACATACACACACACACAAACATCAATTTTTTCTAAGGTATGTCTAAAATGTTCAGAAACCTTCGAAACGTAAAGAAATGCAAAAATTTTCATTTTCGATTTTTTTGCGGTTACAATAACTTCTATGGGAAGTTAATAATTTTTCATGAAATTGTGCGTTTGGATAAATGGCGATATGTAATTTATACACCAGGTGTTCCTTGACAAAAGGCCTTATTATTATGCCATTTATCTTCTATATATATAAAAATAAGTCGGGTTTTCCTTCCTGACGAAATAACTCCAGAACGCACGGACCGATTTCGACAATTTTGCATTCGTTGGAAAGGTCTCGGGCTCCGCAAGGTTTATAGCTAAGAAAATTAGTGGTGCATGGCATTGTGCCCTAATGCAAATTGCTGGAACTTCACGCACCGTAATTAAAAATTCGAGTAATCATATTAGTGAGAATTATCAGAATTATGCTTGGTTAAGTCAACGAACAATTCTTGCCGCAAAGTATAATGATGTACACGCACTGAATTTCACCATTAAAACAAAAATTGCTGGCGATTTGGTGACATACCAATGATTCCGACTGGTCTTCCGTTTGACTTCAAACGATTGCAATTTCCAGTTCGCCTTGCGTTCGCAATGACAACTAAAAAGTCGCAAGGCCAATCGCTTAGTGTTTGCGGGATAAATTTCAAATAGATTATTTAGAAAATCATTGTTTTTCACATGGGCAGTTATACGTTGCCTGTTCACGAGTTGGAAAACCATCCGCTTTGTTTGTGTTAACGTCAGAGCAAAAAACAAAAAATGTGGTTTACCAAAGAGCACTTCAATGAAACGGATAATTTGCGGATTCACTTTCATTTACTTAGGGAAGTTCAACTAAAAAACACTTCATTTTTGTAATCGAAATAAATTCATTACTGTTGTATAATAAAATCAAATTTTTCCTTTTCAAATATAAAACAAAAAAAAAATTTCTTCATCTTTCTCACGAAACCATCTGGTGGCGAAACGAAGTTCGTCGGGTTTGCTAGTAAGATTATAATATAGCAATTATTATTGGTGTTAGGGCTATAAAATATATATTGTATAATTTTCAATAATATTTAGAAATAGTGGCATAAACATAAAATCGTAGTTTATATTATAAGGTGTTTCTGCAGGCTTACAAATCTTTTTGTTTTGAACACGATTTCAGGTGAATTGAAACTTATCAAAGCACGAGCACAGGTCTTATGTGAATTTAATTTCTTGTTGTACTATGTGCAATTAAATTTTGTTGATTCACTAATAATGATTTATTTCGTTACAGTGGAGGTATCCAGTGGTGAGCAAGAAGAATTGTTCATTCGTAAGCTGCGCCAGTGCTGCGTGGCGTTTGATTTCATGGACCCCGTGGCTGATCTGAAAGGCAAAGAAATAAAGCGCGCTTCTCTCAACGATCTAGTGGACTATATGACACACGGCAGGGGTGTACTGACGGAGCCTGTTTATCCAGAAATTATTAAAATGGTAAGTTGCAATTGTTACAACTATTATGCACTCTTGAGTCTTGGGATAGCATAGATTAGTCTTGGTCTTGGTCTTGGTCTGAAACGTTTAAGGTAAATGTATCTATATTCTGTTATTTTATTCTGTCTTGACTAAAATATAAGTCTGAACACGTCTGTGTATATATATTATGCACGTGGGTACTACCAGGGCCGCTGCTGGGTATGTGGACGCCTGCGTGCAAGCATTTTTGGTTGCCCTTGAAAATAACATAATAGGAAAATATCAAATATGTTTTCACAGAAAATTTGACCTTAAATTTTATGTTTTCTCTGCGTTTCTAGTCATTCTGACTAGAATTTGAATAATAAGTGTGTATATGAGCCGATTTTTGATTTTTTACCAATGTTTTCTCTTAAAAACGGTTAAATCGATTTCAAAAATTTAAGTCATTTGATGTAACTAGATAACGACTACCGTCAGTCAGTTTTGTGCAACAATCGGTCTCGCCGTTTCTAATCTTTCTAAAATTTTGTACACGTTTTAGCCAAAAATCCTGCATCGTTTTTAAACATTGAAAAACTGTTTGATAGGCCGGATCGTTTCGTCGAATTTAATTGTTAAATATTTCTTCTCGATGATATTAATAAAACTTTTTTGGCGATAGAGATCATAATCTCAAATATAACTAAATATTTCCACCTGACGACGATACGACAAGTCGTTTTAATTTTCGGAATATTATGTGAGGCAAAATTTATGTGATGCAATAGGATAAGCACTCGTACTGGTTAGTTTTGCCACACCATCGGCCGAGCCGCTTCTTTAGTATTGTCAAAAGTGTCAAACTTTTCATCCACGTTATAGTCTAAATTCGGGAATCGATCTTGAAAATTCAAAAACCATTATAAAAGGTACTATTTGAGAATTGTGCTGATTAATTTTTGTCAATGATCGGTCGAGTCGCTTTTTAGTTATTGATTAACAAATTTTTTTGGCGATTTTGGATCCTGTTCTTAATGATCATACCACATGTTTATTTCTTGTTCAATAATATTTAATTTTTAAACCATTACATGAATGATATGAATTAATATATTTTTTATATATAAGTCGATTATTTACACATGTTGAAAAATTCATGCATCTTGCTTTAAGGTAAAGTTGCACCTTACACCAAGTTTATACACTCGTTAAAAATTTGGAAACAAAGCTTTCAATAGCCGCTTTTTGATTCGATCTAGCTTTGAATACGTCCGCCTTCAGCTGATTTTGACTACGGTCGTCTTAACTCAGCGGATTTTCAACACAGCCGCACATGAGTTCAGCGGACTTTTTGGCCGCCTCTTAATCCAGCGGTCTTTCAATTTGACCGCCTTTTAATTCGGTGGACTTTCAATTCGACCGCTTTTTATTACGGCTGATTTTCGTGCATGGCCGCCTTTAAAATTGTTATTTTTGATTTGGCCGCCCCAAGAGGCGACAGAATTTCCCTGCTTAATTCTCTAATTTTTGAGTTCCTAATGCAGCGTGTGGTCTGGCGTTATTCTGGTGCAGTATGATGTCCTTCTAATTAAAGATTTCCTTCATCTTTTTTGGACCGCTGTCCTTAAATTATCCAGTTGCTGATCACAATTCTTCGAATTGAGCTTTTCGTTTGGTTTTAAAAGCTCTAAATGTAATGTTAATCAAATTCTTTATATTTTGTTTATTTTCTACGTCGATATGTGTACATTTAGAATAAAAATATAGAGCCGAACATGTAATAAACATGACAAAAATGAACAAATGTACTATAAGATTGTTCGCAAAGTCACTTCGTTTTTTTACCACCTGAATTTAGCTATATTTTTTTGAACCTAACATCACACACTTCTATAATTATCATATTATTTGAAAACTCATATTTTAAGGCTTGTGTGTAAAAAAAATTCTAATTAATGACATGCAGTAGTTATTGGATGGTGCCACTTTGAATACGGAAAGAATTAAGCAGAATTTTTGACATATTTTACTCTTTTGCTATAGAAAAGGTAAAAAACTGTTTAAGTCAAAATGAAATTGATCGATGTGTACTGGATTTTTTTTTTTATATTTTATTTGAACAGCGATCAGAACTTATGGGTTCTATGAGCTGTTGTGATGAATCTCTTACAAACTACGTTTGTTTTATTATAGATGGCAACCCAAACAGTTGTCTCATCTCTATGTGCTGAATTTTTATTATTACAATTGTTGTGATAGTGATGACTTTTTATTAGTGCAGCAATGCCGGACAAGGGCTATTTTCACTTGGAAACATATTGCTATCTATGTTTCCAAGTGAAAATCGTTGTCAGTGCTGCCTGACAACAGGCTGCTCGAAGTGGGTATCGAACACAGGACCCCTGATCCAGGTCCAGTCGTTATAGCCACTTACCTACGAGCGAGCCCTGTGTACGGAAATAACGTGTTGATAGTGCGACAGTGCCAAAATTGGTTTGCTAAATTTCTTTCCTGGTATTTTGATGTTCAAGTTGCACCAAGTCCAAGCTGATAAAAACGCGAGAAATGCATCAGTTGATGCAAACTGAAATTTGAAAAGATCTGGATTTTTTTTTTCGAAGTTCAATGTATGGTTTTCATAGAAAGAAAAGTGTGTCGCAGCACTGGCGTCCGCGATTCGCCTCTGAAAAGTCTTGAAAATTATCAGATTTTGAAGCGAATTGTCACTAGGAATTTGAAATGGGATGTAAAAAATACAATACACGCAATTGCCTACGAAACAAAAAACAAGAGCCTGCTCACAAAATAAGGGGAAAGATGAAATTTGCCAGAAAAAGGTGATGCTGTGTGTTTGGTAAGATTTTAAAGGTGTTGTTTATTTTTCAGCTATTCCAGAATAAGATAACAGTTAATTCGGATGCCTTATGTCATCAGCTGGATAAACTAAATGATATACTTCAATAGAATAAAGGTCAGAATTAATCCACAAGCAAGGTATAGTCCTGCATCAAGACGACGCAAGATCTCACATAAGTTTGGTCAATCGCCAAAAGCTTTTGAAGCTTGAATAGGACCCAATGAACATTCATCATATTCTCCAGCCCTGCCATCATCGGACCATTATTTGACCCGGTCACTAAAAAAATTTTTAGGCGGTAAAACCTTTACCTCAAATCAGCCTGTCAAAAAGCACTTTGATCACTTTGATTTTTTTGCCAATAACGACCAAAACATTTATGATTTCGGAATTATGCTTATACCAGAAAATTAAAAAATGATGACCAAAAAAATGTACGAAAATTACGTGTCAAAATGTCTATAAAAAACCAAGTTAGTCTCCGAACAACCCAATATAATGACCATGACTACTACAAAGAAAGTGTTTTTTAAAATAACTCGATTGGTATAATATAATAAATGAATGTACTTTAAGATACACCATAAATTTTAAGAAGAAATATAAATTTATTATAAATTGAAGTATATTTTAAATAAATAGATCAATTATTTATTTCCAGATTTCTGCGAATTTATTCCGAACGCTGCCACCGAGTGAGAATCCAGATTTTGACCCCGAAGAGGATGACCCAACGCTGGAAGCATCCTGGCCACATTTACAGCTAGTGTACGAACTGTTTTTGAGATTCTTGGAAAACACTGATTTTCAACCGACAATCGGCAAAAAAGTCATCGATCAGAAGTTTGTTCTCCAGGTAAAATTACTAACATTCGAAGTAAATAAACTTATTATTTATTATTTGTTTACTATTATTTGTAATTGTTTTATTTCTTAAAATGAAATTGAGACCCCGTATGGGAAACATAAAAATGAAAATCCCAAACTCTAGTTTAAAATAGAATAGAATAGAAATTAAAATAAGCCGATATAAGATCATTCATATTTCATTTCAAGATGTCAGTACAAACAATTTATTATAGCAGTATTTACGTGCATTCGAATAAATTATTTTTTGGAGAGTGTTGTACTATAACATATCTCGTTTTATTAATTTTTATTTTCTTATTTCAGCTACTAGAGTTGTTTGACTCGGAAGATCCAAGAGAACGCGATTTCCTGAAGACAGTTTTGCATCGCATATATGGAAAATTTTTGGGCCTACGTGCCTTCATTCGCAAACAAATAAACAACATATTTTTGCGTTTTGTTTACGAAACCGAACATTTCAATGGAGTTGGTGAACTATTAGAAATACTTGGCAGGTAAGTAAATTTTTAGATTTTTTATTCTCATTCAACAATACATTTTGCTAAAAAAGAACTTTTAAATTTTCGTCTATTTTATAAAAAAAAACTAGTACGTCTTTTACTTTGTTTTACAAGTGCTTTTGTTAACAAAAAAGATCACTTTTTGATTGGTACAATTATGTTATTCAACACTGTATTTCAGAGTGAATATTTTTTCATTTTTTGTAGCATAATAAATGGTTTCGCTTTGCCATTGAAGTCTGAACACAAGCAATTCTTGGTAAAAGTTCTTCTGCCTTTACATAAAGTGAAATGCTTATCGTTGTATCATGCACAACTAGCTTATTGTGTGGTTCAGTTTTTGGAAAAAGATGCTGCCTTGACAGAACCTGTTGTCAGGGGTCTTCTGAAATTTTGGCCAAAAACTTGCAGCCAAAAAGAGGTTTGTTTACATATAATTTTATAAAATACAGGATTCTCATAAACTTATTTTATAACTTATAATTAATTATAAATTAATATATTTAATTTATAATTTTCTATAATTTCAGGTCATGTTTCTTGGAGAGATAGAGGAAATAATGGATGTGCTAGAGCCATCACAATTCGCTCGGGTACAAGAGCCATTGTTCAGGCAAATTGCAAGATGTGTCAGTAGTCCTCATTTTCAGGTAAAAAATGAATTATTGGCATATTGGAATGCGTGAATGAATTATTGGTATGAAATTATCAGATTATATAAAATCTATTTCATGCATATATATCATAGATACCATTTTTTTAAATTGTCGTGCTATTATGTAAATATGTATATGATCAATTCATAAAATTTGTTATTTGTATATAAATTGTTTTTGTTTTATATATAAATATTTTACTTTTAAATGGAATATATAATTGAGAATGCTGAATTAAAATGAGATAATACCATACATATAAATTTTCCAAATTTAAAAATAAAACTAGTACTCTACAAAGTTAGAAATATTAAAATAGTTTTTTTTTCATTCAATGTTGTATTGTATATAATATTTTGATTTTTTGTAGGTTGCTGAGAGAGCTTTATATTATTGGAATAATGAATATGTTATGTCACTTATTGAAGAAAACAATCATGTAATTATGCCCATAATGTTTCCGGCTTTGTACCGCATTTCAAAAGAGCATTGGAATCAGACAATTGTGACTTTAGTTTATAATGTCTTAAAAACATTCATGGAAATGAATAGTAAACTATTTGATGAATTGACTGCAAGTTATAAAGGAGAACGACAGAAGTAAGTGGATATTTTATAATTCATTTAGTGTTTAGACTTTGTTTATAGAAATACATTTTTTATTCTTGTACTATTTATGTAATTTTTTTATAAAATCAGTGCTATTCACTCTTGACGCTTCTTAATTATAATTTTAATGTTAAGATAACTCATGTGTTATTTTGATATTTAGTTATTATTTGACTATTTTGTAAAATATAAATCTTCATCTGAATTCAAAACTTATTACAAGCATTTTATAAAAATGGTCAAAAAAAAATTATACAATCTGTTATTATTTGCTGTTTTTCTAATGTAGTCTTACAGAAAATGATCTCCTTTTATTAAAGTTCAACATTCAAAAATTCAACATTTTCAAAATATTTTATCTGAAGGCATTATCGAAAACAAAAAAAAACCTTTAATAATGCGAAATTGAATGTCAAAATACATATCCTTAAGTTATACAAGATTTTTTCATTTGAAACCAACATTATTTATTCTTTTTATCACAATAATAATTATTAATTACAAATGCATTGTTTTAATAAAGAATTTGACACTCTGTCATATATTTATATATTGATACCTTGATAAAATAAACTTAGTTTGAAATAAATATAGTAACTAATTTTGCCATTAAGTATAATAAAAGTACCTAATTGCCGATATATTTAATTAAAAATGATCAAAAAAATTCTAATAAATATCTAAAGTGTTCATATTGTATATCTAAATTGAATAAGGATTACTAGCTGCATAACCGGTTATGCTTATGCAAATTCGATACAAAATTATGGTATATTTCTAAAACGTTTATCTTTACAGAGAAAAGAAACGCGAGCGCGAACGAGATGAATTATGGAAACGTTTAGCAGATTTGGAAATAAGTCACCGAAAGCAGATAGAGTCCTCAAGCTCATCAGGACCACAGTTGCAGAATGCTGTAACGACAGCCGTAACCCACCATCAATTGCCACAGAAAACCAAGTGAAACATCAGTAATACATGTGTCAAGAACCAGGATACAATCTGAGCAACCTATAACCTTCCTGCTGCTACTGTGATCTGTCATGACATTTACCACACATCGACATGACATCAATCGGTGTATGAAGTTTCAAAGTGATTATAGTGCTCGTGCGTGTGTACTTATCAGTTTATACATGCACAAGTTGTATGTGTGATGCAGTTATGTTAAAGTTTTTATTTGTTTATAGTGTGACTTGGTTTATTGGCGAAATATGCAAAGACTTTCGATGGCATTTTTAAGAAAAGAAAGGTTTTGTAGAGTACTGAGAAATATATGTTTTAGATGTATAGTTCTCAGTATATTAATTTGAATAATTTCTCATAATTTTTGTTTAGTCATTATTTTTGAAAGAATGTTTGGTTCAAGTTGTTCATTATTCTCAAATTTCATTCTTTCAATTTATGATTTAATATAATGTAAATGATGAATTGCATTAACATATAATTCCTGTAACCTCGAATGAGTTTTTGCTATATATGTATAACATTTTTATTATAATGTTTGTTCATACCATGTCCATTTTATTTTCTTTTTTTTTGTCTTAAAAATACTAATTTATATCATAGTATTAAATCTAGTTATATACTAATTTTAATGAATTAATTTTTTAAACTCATTTAATTTTTTGTATTAATTTTATGTGAAATTGATGCTTAGAAGCTTTACAATTCATATAAAGTAATAATTTGTGCCCTGTCAAATACAATAGAGAATTGCCCTCCATATTCTGAAAGCAGCCTAGAGTTTATGAATATATATTTTTATATTCCGACTAGCTGCATTTTTTGTTGCAAGTTCTTTTTTGTTCTGTAATATATACTGCACTGAACAAGTTTTAGTATCTTAATGATTTTTTTTTGCTTGTAAAATTTTGAAATGGCTTTGATCGAAATGTATATTAGCAAATGAATATAAATGAGTTTATATTTGAATATTTACACGCATGTATAAAATGCATAAATATTTTGATATAAATTGAATGATTAAATTTATGACCCTAGTGTGTTTGCAGAGGTGGTATGAATTAAATAAAATATAACATAATATATGTAGGATTAATTTTGGTTCTGTAACTATTTGTCGTCGCTGTGTACAATTAGATTTAAACATGTATTTTATCTAAAAGAGAAGAAATCTATTATTTCTATGACATAAATATTCAAGTAATGTTTCTTGTCAAAGAAAGATTAATATTGAAAAAAGAATGTATGTTTAAACCGTAATTTTATTATATCCAGTAACTGTTAATATTATATTAAAGATATATTACAAAGTAAAGAATAATATTGACCTGAAAAACTATTATATTATGTACACATAATTAGGAGTTATAGTCGTTCTATGGACATTAGAAATTTATGATTTTCATATTTCACTGTCTCACAAAGATTCACGACGAATGATACACGGCAATTATATCTACTTTAATACTAAACAAAAACATTAATGCTGTTTATCTTTGTGTAAAATAAAAATATCACATTTTTGAAACATGTTTGTGTATGGAAATCATACTATATAAAAATTCATTTGATGATCCTGTACATCAGTGATTTTATAAAATCTAGAAATCTAAAAAATATCTAACTCAATGTGCTTTATGCTTTCATAAGTAAATTTACAATATCAAATATTTGGTTTCATCATTTGCTATATGTCGATTCTTTTACTTCTCAATATCATAGACCGAATGTGAGAAAAGATACTGTTTGATACAGAAATATTGCAAAAGCATTTGCACTTTATACTTTCTCTTTTATTCAAGTTAATAGTACATTATTTCAAATATGTAACAATATGATGGATATTAATCGTATTGTATATAAGGATTCATTATGATCATTTAGACGAAAAGTACACTATTTTATGATGCATGTACTCTTAATTTGAATAAATGTAATAAATATTAAGTATAGCATTATATAAATTGGTCATTTTTCAAAAAAAAAATGTAGCATAGAAAAGTATATTAATAATTAAGAATATTTAAATAAGTAGATACAATTTGTAGGGGAGTTACAATCACAACTTCTGATACACAAAATAACCCAATGCATTAATGAAACCTTACTGTATGTCCATCAATGAAATCTATGCAAATGAAATGATTGAAATTGTTATATTGTATAAAATATTTAAAAAGGATGTGGATGTTTTACTTTCATTTTGCTTATATGATTTTGGTCTATTAATTGATTATATTTACTTTCAAATAGTCAGCATTTATATTTTTTAATTGCAATTACACAGAATACAATATGTGAACATACCCCTGCCATGCAGTGAATCAATATGTTATATTATACATCAAGATAAGTTATAACTGTTTAGGCTGTAACTTTTATGTTAGATCCATTAATTAATATTATTATATTGTCTAGGGTTATATCAATTCATTTCCATGTTCTACAAAATATTAAAGCGAAAAATACCAGACAGCAAAACTTTAAACAGTTACCAATCTTTGCATGTGCAGCATCAACATTTATATTCTTTCAGGGTTTAATAGAAAAAACGCCGTTATTCAACTTTTATTTTAACGTACCTTAAAACTAATTTTTGGACTTCCTAGGTTTTATAATTTCCAAAGTAACTGAGATTACTCGAAAGATTAAAAAGATTAAAATTTTGAAATAAAAGTTGACAATTTATATAATTTTCTAATGCACTGTATTTTAAAAATATTTTTTAAAAAAATATTGCCTTTAACGACGATTATATTAAATTCAATTAATTTATTTGATTAAAAATCAAATTAAATTATTTAGCTCTTTTATTCAAATGTAGCGCCACTGAAAGCTGCATTATGGCCGAAATCATTTTAGGTGTAAAGTTTTTCGGCCAAATTAATATTAGAGATTTCTTTCGCAATGTCCTATCTACGCGCTTTTAACAACCTATTACTCTATGGAAACTAGATTCTGGCATTTGTATCTTATTCCAAGTCGATTTGACTTTGTACGAAATTTTGTTTGATTACTTGTGAGAGTTATAGTTAACAAACAGCGTTGTAGGTTATTATCGCAAGGCAGAAAAGTTAAAACGTTGTTTTAAAACAACTATGTTCATAAAGCACTTATAAAAATGTCTATAAACGTAAATAGTGAAACATGGAAAACTTGGGAGAGATCTGGTAAAACAGAATTGTGAGTGTTGTTTATTCTATAAATTGTAACAATATATAGAGAATGTTATTGATATAATATAATGAGTTAGCAGCAGTCGTGAAGACACTTTTAATTATTATTTTTTGTCTTGGTTATGCAAATTTAACCTAACCAAAAACCAGAAGGCTTCAGAAAAATGTGTCGAAATAAAATATAACATCAAGCCTCGAAGTATAATAGTAATAATCAATTAGGTCGAACTTTAGTACAATTACATATTTTTGCAAGCTTGTTTATTTTTTATATTATACTTTAATGATGGTGCATGATGTTTTCTCTAATTTCTTATAATATTTTTCAGTTTAAAACAATGTAAAGCTACAATTAAAGACAATGCTAGGACACCATTATTATCAAAATCTGGCAAACTAACTGGCTTGGGCCGAGCTATATATGAGTTATTTTCAAACGGCATCAAAGGCACCATAAGGAGAGATGCAGTTAGTTCTGCAGTTGGTGAATTATGCGTAAGCATCATTATATTATATTATTTGCATATTTTTCTTTATATTGCATTGTTTTATTATTTTCAGCATTTGCACAATGATTTACCATCAATTATTTTGGATGTTTTAAATATATTAGATGCAGAAACAGCATTAAGTGATCCAGAGGAAAGGCAGATTTTCTGTCAAATTACTAAAGATACTGAAAAGGTTAGCATAAAAAGACAATATGATAAGGGAATTATTCCTGATTATTATTAAAATTGTTCAATTTAACCCTTTGTGCTTTGATACATTTCATACAACATATATCACGGCAGTACTTTATATGTTCATATGGATAATAAATGTAATATACATTTTTGTTATAGTTTCTCTCTGACAAACTCTTGAAAGAACGTCTAGAGATTGATACATTAAATGAAGCTGGGATTTTGAGCACATCTAGAACGTTCTATACAAAATTTATAAAAATAAAAACTAAATTATAGTAAGTTTTTATTACCATACATAAAATGTATCACTTTTCATTACATTTTTGACATGAAATATATTTTTAGTTACAAACAAAGAAAATTCAATTTATATCGTGAAGAAAGTGAAGGTTATGCTAAACTGATAGTAGAATTGAATCAAGAAATTAATGATACAATAACCCCAAAGAATATTTTGGAAGTTATTAAGTCACTGATTGGTAAGTTGTGTGTTGATTTATAATCACAATTGAAATTTACTACAAATTAAATTCATTTCATGCAAATATTTGATATCTTTACTATATTTTTTATTGTAAAATTACAATACTAAATCATTGTTAATAAATTTCTCTTAGCTTGAACATAATAGTTACATTAAAAGTATTGTTTTGACTAAGTATATTATGTATGCATGCCAAATTTGTAATGTTCATTTTAATATAGTTGAAATGATTCAATTAACAATGCTATAAATATATGAGTTAACTAAAGAGTAAAATATTACTAGTATATAAAAAACTAGTTGATAATGGCATTTTGCTATAAGGCAAGTTCAAGGCATCCTGAATTGTGTAAAAATTGACTTAATCATCTAAAATTGTGATTCAGTTATTTAGATAAAATTTACAACTGTTAATTCTGAAAATAAAATTTTTGCTTTTGAAACATTTTTTTAAGGAACTTTAAAAAGTTATTATGTGAACTACAGTAGAACCTTGATTAACCGGACGAATTGTTGTCGATAGGCATCCGCATAATCAAAAATCCAGATAATCCAATGTATGAAGAATAATGTTGTGTATTTATAAAAAATAATAAATACATACATAGATAGCAATGAAAATCAATGTTTATTAAGAAATTAACATTTTATTATGTATGAACATATATATTTTCTTAGATTATATTACATATATATAATAAACTGCAACATAAATCGCGTAAAATTTGAATTGTAAGTATGTACATACATATAACTCTGTCGCGATTGGTAGTTATATGGATAATTGCAAATCCGTATAACTGAGGTCCGGATAATCAAGGTTTTACTGTATTAATGTCTACTTTAAGTAAATACTGTCTCAATTATCTGAATCATGTACGTAGTGCTTGATCTTATTTAATGATTTATTTTAGATTAATGTTAACATTTTTTACATTTTTTTTAAAAAAATGCTATCAAATTTTTAAAATTAAATTATGTAACTTGTCCTAGGGCTGTAATATTTTAGTATGATCAATAAGACCATGATATATATCGCCAAAAAAAGAATCGTAATCGCCGAGAATTTTTTTCAACAGTAACTTACACGAGCCGGTCTATCTTTACCAAAAATTTAAGAATATCAGATACAAAATCTAATTTCATTTGAAAAATTTGGTATGTTTATTTAACTGATTGATGATCATGTCATTTTCAATTCATTATATACTTAGAGTTTTATTATCGTAACTTTTCCATTGCAGGTTGTTTTAATTTAGATCCAAATAGAGTATTAGATGTTATATTGGAGTCATTTGAATGCAGGCCGGATCAAGGAAATTTTTTTATACCTTTGATAAGATCGTACATGCCAGATAAGAAAATTATCTGTGAGGTAAGAAAATTGTTTCATGAATAGAAAATGTATTCATTTAAAAAAGAAAGCTAATTTGCATTTATTATCTATTATTAAAGAGCCTTTGTTGATTTTTGAAAATGTATGGTCTTTTATTTTAGTTCAGTCATTTAGTAGTTTTTCCTTAAAAGTTTTCTGGAAGTTTTGAAGATTGGTGATTATATAGATTTTGATGTGATTTTTACGAATTTCAACTTTGCGTTGATTTTAAGTTTAATTTAGTATAAAGCTATTCTTGCAAGAAATTTAATATTGCATCAAATTGTATGATTCAAAATATTCAATCATCGGCAAAAATGAAAAACAAAAATAGTTAAATTATGTTATTTCTAGATCAGACCTAAGCAGAAAGTCTCAATTCAACATTTAAATTATTTATTAGAGAGAATACGTTCAAATGCAAAGAGTAGTCAAATACCGCGAGGGTCCATGGCTGCGCGAGCACCAAATACTTTGCAGCGCTCGTACGCTAAAACTATTGATTTTACAATAAAAAACGTTATTGAATAAGTTAAAGAAAATTCTGTCTAGTTTAATTTCGTATTTAGGTATTTTGTTGTAACATAAGTCGGAACGGAGATATCGTTAAAAAACTTTTGACGCTATTTTTCCTATATGGCGGCGGCAACTGCGAAAATTCGAGGTCGCAAAGTTGAAATTCATAAAGATCATATAAAAATCTATAAAATCACAAAGTTTCAAAACTTCTGAAGCAACAGCTTTTTTTGCACCAAATGACTGGGCTATTTGCTTTAGCAAGAATTACCATTTTAATAATTTATAACTTTTAGTCAAAATAATCGAGTACTCAAAATTTTATGATTTCAATTTCTTATAACATTTTGTAATTTGAGAATATTGTATAAATATTCTTTTAAATAATAATTTGTTTTATATATTATTTTTTATAGGTACTAGGTTTCAAATTCAATATAGATCCTTATAACACTCCGAAGTCGTTGTATAAAGTTACAGCTTTGATGCTACAGCATTCTGTAATAAATTTGGATGATATTTATTATTGGGTAATAATATAATTAAATTTGAACATTGATCATTTTTTAATGTTTATTAATTTGTTTCATTTTGTAGTTGTCACCTGATGATAAAATATTATGTAGACAATTTGAAAGAGAAATGTCTGATGCCAAAGAGTATGTTAGAAGATTAAACATAATATCTATCAATAAAGATAAAGATAAAGAAACTGACTCGAATGAACAAGATAAAGATAATATCAATGATCGTTATGAATGCAATCAGAAATTTAATCTCTGCCAGGTACATGAAATTTTAAATCATTTTTTTTTTATATTAAATTAATCCAAATTTAAACTAATACTAATTTTTTGCAGGCTTTAATAGAAATTGGTGATTGGAATAATGCACATCAACTTTGCTTGAAACTGCCAGAAAATTATGTTATTGATCAACAACCTATAGCAGTAGCTCTGTGTAAATTGATTCATTATCTAATTGACCAGGTCTATCGTAGTAAATGTAGAATTGCCAAGAAAATCAATTTAAAGCCAGTGCAACATACAATGACTAATCTTGGTCCAAAACAAGCACAAACATTTCTAGAGCTCAAAACTGATGCCATACCAATGATTGTATTTTTGGGTCCTTCTTTACATTATGATCCAGTTTTAGCAAGTAAAATTCTACGTATTTGTGAATCAGCTCTAGCTGAAATGGATGTTAATTCCTTGAAACTTCCTAAAGACAATAATAACTTGTACTATGAGATATTTTCAATATTGGACTCGGCTATACTGCCAGCTTTATCATTTATGGATTGTAATTGTTGTATCGCAGAGGAGATTTGGAATATTATTAAATTATATCCTTATCAATACCGGTATAGTTTATATGGTAGATGGAAAAATGACACATTCCAACAATATGCAAAACTTCTACGAAGGAAGGGAGAAACACAAAAGGAAATTAAACACTTAGTAAAAAGAATAAGTAAAGAAAATATTAAGCCCATTGGAAGATCAATTGGCAAGTTGACACATTGCAGTCCTGGATTTTTCTTTGATTATGTGAGTATTTTATAACTGTAATTTATTATCTTTTTAAAGGACAAAATTATGTTTAAGCCAGGAAATTCAACTGGTAAATAATAAGTATTCTTGGTGATTGTCATTCTAAAACCTTTGAGACTAAAATTGGAAAAAACATGTATTTGTGTATAAGAGTCGGAATTTGATCTTTTGTCAAAATTTTTGCAAAAAAGGCGGCATCAATTTTAAAACATTCAGAAGCGGTTCGATGAAACTCGATGAGTACTCGCGAGACGATAGACCGAGCTGTTTATTTTGGAATTTCCAGAAAACTACAAAAATTCTTGTCTACATTTTCACAAAAAATCTTCGACAGATTTTGAAAATACAAAATCTGTATTAGGATATCTGTTGGAAATCTTGCTTAGTTATTCTTGAATAGTTTGAATAAAACATTGATTTAAAAAGTTTGAAGAACTTGCTTAAAGGCAATAATACAACTTATACTTAGATTGTTAATAATTTTGCTTCAAAATGTGGAAATACTGTGTTTGTACAATATTTGAATAGAAGTATTGCATGTAAAAAAATACATTACAGACATTATATTTGATAATTTAAACAAGTTCAAACACTTGTATAATATAACTTGAATAAATATATATAATAAATAGTAAGTTATTGTAATCGTCCAGAGGTTTCTGAATATTTTGGCATACCTGAAAAAAAAAAACTGATATATGTATGTGAGTGTGTGCGCGTATGCATGGATACAATTTTTTGTCCACGTTTCCGGGGCAATGGATCAATCGATTTGAAAGATTTAAAAGCAATAGATTCCTATTGATAGGGAGATGTGCTGATTGGTTTTTGAAAGGTAGTTCTAGCCCTTTCGGAAATACGGAGCTAAATGTGCAAAAATTGCAGTTTTTGAAGGTATTAAACATCCGATTTCAATGATTCACAAAACTTTCTGCTTCTGGTGACCAAACAATTGTTTTTGGGGAAAGAAAAAAATTTGTTTTTATTCTGAAGTAAATTTTAATTTCAATTCTAACTAAAGTTGTTACGTACTCCAAATAAATAATTTTAACTATGGAATTTTAAATCCGCTTGATCCAGTTTTGTTTCTTTACTTTTCATGTAAACATATATAAACATCGTCTTACAATTGATAAGCTCTTACATTTTACTTATAAAATAAGAATAATGAAAGTTACAGTATTTATAATAATATATTGGATAACATTTCCAAAGTTCCAGCAACTTGCTTTAAGGCACGATGTCATGCACCATCAGTTTCAATGTTTCAATTGATTTGTATTTTTTAGTTATATTACCTGCAAGGTTTGGAGATATTATTTTAGTTACACTTGTTTAATATTTTAGTTCTTTTTCTTTGATAAAAAAAGGAATAGATATATGTATATGTGTGTATATATATATATATATATATATTCAATAGATAAGTCCTGGATTTTTTCAATATATTGATTGTTTCTTTTCCGAACAGTAAATCCAATAATAAAAAACAATTTGTTTTTTGAAGATGTTTAATACGACGTTTCGGAACTAGGTACGTTCCATCATCAGGTTTATTCTGTCAAATACAATGTTTAACATTGTATTTGTTTAACATTGTACACAATGTTTAACATTGTACAATGTCAAACATTGTATTTGACAGAATAAACCTGATGATGGAACGTACCTAGTTCCGAAACGTCGTATTAAACATCTTCAAAAAACAAATTGTTTTTTATTATTGGATTTACTGTTCGGAAAAGAAACAATCAATATATATATATATATATATATATATATATATATATATATATATATATATACAATATAGAATTTTGTGATATGAGTGGAACAAATATTAAATGTTAAATATGAACAATACAGCACTCAGATTTTTAACAAACACTTTATTTGATAATTAGAGACGTTTTGAGACCGTGGTATGCCTTATCTTCAGTAATTTCAAAACAGTTACTTATATACTACACATTCTTCAATATTTTATTTAAATTACATTTAATTTTTGAAAATACAAAAAATACCAACTATCACTTGCAGAGCTTGACACAGTACTAAAATATGTGAAACATACAGAAATATTTTGAACTAGTTGGTATTGGTATTTTGCCTTGAGGCAAGTTACATGAACTTCCCGATATGTTTAAATAAACGACTTAATCAATAAAAAATAAATTAGTTTATGAGTGATCACAAGTATTTCGAGTGGATTTATTACACATAAGTGAAAACGAACGAGCATGTTAACTCGGAGTATTTTCTAAAAACAAATTTTCAAAAATCAATCATTATTTTATAATTGAACCAGTTTCCGTAGGACTTTAATGGTTTAGTATGTTCATTAAGACCACGTACTCCATCGTTATACCAAGTAAGTCTAATTTTAATTTTAACAAACGTCAAAAAACCTACTCATTTTCTCAATCTTTGATGAATTTTTAAAATTAAATTACTTGCCGTTAGGCCGTAATATTTTGGTAAGTTCTGTAAGACCATGATATATATCGCCAAAAAAAGTTTCATAAAAATAGTCTTAAATTTTTTTTCAACAGTTAATTACAAGAAAACGGCTCGATAGATTTTCACCTAAAACTAACCAGTATCATTCCCAACTAATATCTTTCGAACAATTTTTGATTTTTTAAAATCGATTCGGTAGTATGAGCTTAAACGAGAAGATCAACACTTTTTTCCAAATTACAAAGAAAAGGCTCGGCCGATCGTCGCACACAACTGACAAACGATAATCCTCATTGAGAAACATCAAATGGCTTTTAAATTTCTGAAATCGGTTCAGACGTTTTTGAGAAAACGTTGATGAAAGGTCTAATTTTGACACATTCCAGAAGAACGATACCAATTTTTGCAAACTTTGACGAATTTTTAAAGCTAAACGAGTTGTCGTAGGGCGGTAATATTTTAGTTTGATCTAGAAGACTATGGTATCTACCGTCAAAAAAATAAGAAAAATCGTCGAAAAAGGTTTTTTTAACATTTCATTACAAGGAAACGGCCCGGCCGATCTGTACGAAAAACTAATTAGCACGATTCCCAACCAATATCTTTCGAAATGGTTTTTGAATTTTCAGAATCGATTCAGGATTGCGGGCTAAAACGTGGACGAAAAAGTTTTCACTTTTCTGCTATTTATAAAGAAACGGCTTGGGCGATCGTCGCACAAAACTGACAAACAATAGTCCTGATCGAGATACATCAAATGTCTTTTAAATTTTTGAAATAGGTCCAACCTATGTTAAACATCATTAATAATTTATCATTTTTTTCAATTATCTTATTCTCTTCAATAAATTAATCTGTTTTCACACTTGTTGATTTTAGTATGCGATCGCGCACTCCATTTGTTTACATTATAATAATACCCATCCTCTTTATTCATCTCGATACTTAAGATTTGTTTAAAATATTTCACATGTTTTAGTACTGTGTCAAGCTTTGCAGTGATAGTTGGTGTTTTTTGTATTATCAAAAATTAAAAGTAATTTAAATAAAATATTAAAGAATATGTAGTATATAAGTAACTGTTTTAAAATTACACTGAAGATATGGTATACCATGGTCTCGAAACGTCTGTAACCAAATAAAGTGTGTGTTAAAAATCTGAGTGTTCTATTGTTCATATTTAACATTTCATATATATATATATATATATATATATATATATATATATATATATATATATATATATATATATATATATATATATTTATATATATATATATATATATATATATATATATATATATATATATATATATATATAACTTTTTACCTACTTATGAAAGTCTCTATATTGAATGCTAAAATTTGTTTGTTGTTTTCAGGTACTTCTACAAATCCAGATATATGACAATCTCATTATTCCTATAGTTGATTCACTCAAGTACCTCACATCATTATCTTATGATATATTAGGTTATTGCCTCATAGAAGCCCTTAGTTCTCCAGATAAACAAAGGATGAAACACGATGGCACATCAATTTCACTCTGGTTGAAGAGTTTAGCTTCATTTTGTGGGGCTGTCTTTAAAAAATATAATATTGAATTGTGTGGATTATTGCAATATGTTGCAAATCAATTGAAAGCACAAAAAAGGTAGGTAATGTTATTTTAATGCCATTTCATATTTATTATGAAAAGAAAAGTACAAGTATAAATTTGTCAAATTATATTAAAGTTGCATATACTAAAATTTCTAAGGTTTAGTTGTTAGGATTTTTTTTAATATGCTATTCTTATGTTTTAGTACTGATTTGCTGATCTTGAAAGAAGTTGTCTTAAAAATGGCCTGTATTGATGCCGCAGAAGAATTGACTGAAGAACAATTAGAAGCACTTGCTGGAGGTGAATTACTCAAAGGAGAGGTAATTAAATTATTGTAATTTATATTTTTAAACATATATTTACTTTTGCAATTATTGAAAAATAAAAAGCAGAAGAAAATATAAGAAACAATTCTTTAATACATTTTAAACTAAAATAAGAATATAATTCCAATTTGTTTTCTAAATTCAATATCAAGTGTTGTATCAAATCAAGCTAATATCAGAATGATTTAGATGGTCTGTAACCTACTAATTACGATATTTTATTCTGTAGGCTGCATCTTTCAGTCAAGTACGAAACACCAAAAAATCATCATTGCGCTTGAAAGAGGCATTGAATGAACATGATTTATCTGTGGCATTGTGTTTACTAATTGCACAGCAGAAATATTGTGTTATATATAGAGAAACAGAGTATACACATTTGAAACTTGTTAGCAAGCTCTATGATCAATGTCAGGATACGTTAGTGCAATTTGGAAGTTTTCTTGGTAAGTTTTTTTTTACCTTTTTTCTTGATATTCTTTACATTCATTATTTTGTGAACAAAAATGTCATTTTACTCCTACAAATTATTTTATTATTGTTTCAATGTTCAAATATTTTCCTACGTTAGAAACAAAATATGAAAATCCTATTGTCTTTGGTATAATTATTCTGATTCTATTTATTTATTACAGGTTCCACATATTCAGTTGATGAATATGTAACTCGACTACCTTCAATACAAATGATGTTGCAAGAATATCACATACACACTGATGTAGCTTTCTTTTTAGCACGGCCTATGTTTACTCATGCCATTAGTGTAAGTAGTTATTGCTGTGTGTGTAATTAAGTATTTATTTCTGATCGTACTCAATAGTTGCAGTAAGCAATTTCTTTATAAGATAAGTTTGAATGGTTACCTTTTTACTATTTAGTAAAACTGGCATTGAAACAATAGTACAAATAAATGTATAAAATATTGCAGAATATGTGATAATTTTAAAATTTATTCTGTTAACGTAAGACAACTGTTGTGTATGTTGTCATATTAATTGCCTAGTTCTGGATACATGTTTTTTGATGTTTTGAGCATTTGAACTGTGTCTCCAGAAACTTTTGAATTTTGATTATAACAGTTATGAAATAAAAATAAACTGTCAATTCTTTTCTCCATCTTCATTTTATCAGATTACCAACAAAAATCATTGATCAAATGCTGATTATTTTCTCATTTTCTAGCAAAAATATGATCAATTGCGTAAAACTGATCCAAATCCACGCAAATTAACAGCGGCTTTGAAACAAGCAAAATATGCAGAAGCATGTGAACATGTTATGTCACCGGTAGTTGCATCCGTTCGGACATTGCATCCAGCAAGAGTTTGGGAAGATATGTCACCTCAATTTCTCGTTACATTTTGGTCTTTAAGTATGGCAGATTTACATGTGCCTGTGGAGAGCTATAATAGAGAAATTAATAGATTGAAGCAGTTGTCACTTGAATTGTTGGATCAACAAGATGTAAGTTTTATTATATAAGTTACTAAATATATACAAATATTTAACTCAATTTTGATTTTTTGCCTTGTATATAGAAAATATTCAATAAATTTTTATTGAAATGTTTGTTAATATCTTGAGGAGTCGTATATTATATAATTTTTAAAATACAGTGCTACCCCCGACATTCAAGTTGAATTCGTACCTTACGACGCTCATATGTCGAATCGCTCATATCTCGAAACAATTTGTCCCATATAAATACATTGAAATGCCCTTAATTCGTTCCAGAGTTGTGGTTTCTGGTAAGTTTTGAATATAAAAAACAAATTCACTATTTATTAATTCAATTTTTTTTTTTCTTCATTTTTGATATTGCGGAAACACGTTAGACATGTTTCGTTGAACAACCCGATGCTCAAACAGCTTCAACTTTTTTGTGGTAATTTTAGAGCTCTAAAAGCGGCGTATAAATTATTGTAAGGCTGTAGTTAATATAATAATAACGGGTAGTACTGCCCTAGGGTGGGACCATGAGCTGAATCAAACTCCAACTCTATTCAGGGAAGAATAGTGTGAGAGATTTCCCTTTCATTGCAGTACCCGAAATGGGATTATTTTTAAATGGAAACATATTTTTGACATCGCTATCGCCGTTGTCAGATTGTCAGAGCGAGCGCTCTAACTTGCAACCGCATCCACTGAAGTCCTTCTTCTATTTGAACACAGTACATGCCTTCGATAATCCTCATATTTTTAATGATTTATTGCTTTATTTCAAGAGATGTGGTTCTTTTGTTTGAACTCACGGTTCTGAAAGTAAATAATATTTCGCATAGAGATAAAGATGCTATTAGGTTCATATAAGGATTTATACAAAAACCGACATTTTAGAAAACAGGTTTTCGAATTTTAATTTTACCAGAAAACCGGTTTTCGAATTTTATATAGAAAATTAATTTTTGCTCGTATTTTCTGTAATAACAAAAATTTATCCGCAATTTTAGTGCGATTTAAAGCAGTATTTGACTGAATTTATTTATTGTTCAATTTTATAAACAAAATTATTTTGATTTTAATAAGTAGAACAAAAAAATAATAGTTAATCTGAATTAAATAACTGAAAATAATTATTCGTTATTCATGCGTCATTTTCACATATATAAATGAAAATAAAATCACAGTGAAAGAACAGTTTTCGAATAAATAAAAATAATACATTTTTAAAATTAAAAAAAAACGTATTAGGTACATGTTGATACATACTTGTTTGTATCAATTTTAGAAAACAATTAAGTGAAAACAATTAAGCTAAACCCCGAGTATTTTCTATTCTGAGCAATTTTAATTAAAAAAAATTTTAATTATTTTTTTATTTAATAAAATATGATATAAAAAAATTGAGAATATCTATCGATTTGTTACTTAGACGTGTCCTTTGTTTACTCACAATATTTCCCAAAATAGAAAATACTCTCTTACTTGCGACCGAACTTAATTGTTTTTAAAGCCTGATATATTAATTCTAAGTTGTTTGTCCTTTTACTTGTGGTTTATAGTCACATATATACACTGGTATAAAAATCTAAATTAATATATACATTAGACAAAAGATAACACAAAACTTTTGTGGGAACCATAGCAGACTGATAGGATTCTAAATGCTATTGAACCAATATGATTCCAAGAATCAAAACGCTTGCTACTATCTTTTATATTTGGCTATATTTGTTATTTTCCATTTATACAGTGAAAACCGACTTTTTCTACTAAAAAAACCGGTTTTCGAATCCCATAATTTTTGTCAAAAAACGGTTTTTAAAACCGGTTTTTGAAAACTGACAAACCGTAGTTCATATTCAATGATGTAACTTTGGTTTTCACCTTTTATGTAATATGTCTAAAGTGGAATGGTTAAATATTAATATAATTAAACAAAAAGAACACTAAAACTTTTTGTTTTGAATATAGTGACTTCAAAACGTGTATGGTCTTATCATTTCAGAGTGCTAATAAAAATAAAAAGGAACAAGAACGCCATATGGCTCTTATTGAAAAATTGCAAGACGAGCGCAAGAAGCAGCAAGAACATGTTGATAAAGTTATGTATCGACTGAAGCAAGAAAAAGATACATGGTTTGTTTCAAGATCTAGTAAATCGGCGAAAAATGAAACAATTACTCAATTTTTGCAGTTGTGCTTGTTTCCGAGATGTATTTTCACTGCAATTGATGCTGTCTTTTGTGCAAAGTTTGTTCATATCATCCACAGCTTGAAAACAGTGAACTTTTCAACATTATTATGTTACGATAGAGTAAGTGCACATTTAATTATTTTTATGTATGACATGACAAATTTATATATTTCATTTGGATTAAAATGTATTTTTATTACAATATTATTATGTGTAATTAAATAAGTAAGGAAGTGTGATACTTTTTTCATGCTACATTAAAAATCTAAATTTTTAAGGATTCATACATTTTTTATGCCTCATATTCAAATATTTAATATTCTATTTATTTATTCACATTACACCATTTTACAACATTTACTCATGATTTACAGATTTTCTGTGATATTACTTATTCTGTAACCCTGTGTACTGAAAATGAAGCGCACAGGTACGGTCGTTTCTTAGCTGCCATGTTAGCCACTGTTACCAGATGGCATTCAGACCGATCAAATTTTGAGAAGGAATGCGCTGATTATCCAGGTTTCATGACAAAGTTCCGTGTCAGCAACCAGTTCAGTGAAGCTAATGATCATGTTGGATACGAAAACTATCGACATGTATGTCATAAATGGCATTATAAACTAACTAAGAGTATGGTTATGTGTTTGGATAGTAAGGATTATGTACAAATTCGGTTAGTATTACATATATTAATTTATAAGTTACATGATTTATAAAAGATATTGGAGTCAGTTTTTTCCATATCATGGTTGCTATCATTGGAAATTTATCTGTTGCCCCATATAAGGGAGAAAACTTTATATATATATATATATATATATATATATATATATATATATATATATATGATTAATAAAAAATGATACATAAACAATGACCAATCTGACCAAATTTTCAAAATCTACTGAAGTGTTAAAATAGTTAATAAGAATTCTTCACAAAAATATTAAATATAACTTTTCAATTTTCAGGAATGCATTGATAATATTAGTTAAAATTTTGCCATATTATCCAATTTTGTCAAAACTCGCACAAATAGTTGAACGAAAGATAGAAAAAGTGAAAGAAGATGAGAAGGATAAACGTCAAGATTTATATGCGATGGCTTTGAGTTATGGAGGACAACTAAAAGCTAGATCATCTCAGATGATTAGAGAAAGTGAATTCCATCAAGTAAGTTTATTTGCAATATTATTATTATTCCAATTTGAATTCTTTGTATTATATATTTTTGTATTGCCTACAATTTATGAACTGATTTGATTTTACTAGACTATTTGATTAAATAATGAAATTAATTATTTAACTACTTATCATATTTTCTGTGGGATTGTTTTTTTAAAGTATATTATTCTTTTTTTAGGTGTCCAAAAGTAATGATGCATCTTCAATCAACTCAGGAGAATCAAAACATAATGGTGATATAAGTAAAAACGATAAAGAAAAATCAAAAGATCCTGGTAGAGATCGTGAAAGAAAAAATAGAAGTGGACAAACTGATTCTAATAAGAATAGTGATAGAGATAAAAGAGATAATTTGTAAGTATAAATTTATGTAAACTAAGTATTCCATACAATTAATATTTAATTAGTGATATTGGTGTATACAATCTTCTATAATATTCTCAATTGTAATATGTACAATATTTATAGTCTTGAAAAAAATATTAATGCTGTAATATATTATTAAAAATATGACCAGCAAATTTGTCAAAAATAAAAAGAATAATTAATAATAATAATAATAACACATTAAAAATGTATTATTCACATTTACAAAAACAGACTAATGTGTCTCAGCAGAATAAACATTTATAGATTAATGGATTGATTACTATTAAAGGTATGATCAAACTTGATCATACTATTCGAACATAGTCTTTAGTTTGAATTATGCATCAATTAAAATTAGTGTAAATCACATGAGTTTGTAATTTGAATGAGTTAACTAAATTTCAATACATTTATATATTATCTTATAGAAAAGAGAATACACCTGCAGAAAAAGAAAAATCACTTAAAAAGGAGAAGGACGATTCTCGAACAACAAAGGTGATAATGAAAATCGGGATAGAGATCGTAGTGAAAGGGATAAGCGTAAAGAGCGAAAGGAGGAAAAAATGAAAGAAGAGCAAAGGCAATACAAGGTATTTTTTTGCTTAATTATATACATTGAAGTTCATTATTCTCACATGCTCCATCGAGCAGTGATTTTAAAAACAATTATGTTAATAATTAAACTACAAAAACAATATGAAGTGTTTGAATACAGTCTTTAAAGGAGGCGACAGTATAAAATGGTTAATCTAACTTTGTTAGATTTAGCAAGCCCTAAATCTTAGCAGACTTTTTTTTATCTTTGACAATCATTGGTCCTATTATTGGTTTCCACCTGAACGTACCGCGCTTAACCATTTGAACAATATACTAGCTGTAGTGCAATATGCACTTGCTTTGTTTTTTTTTTTTAATGTTTATCTAGAAGCTACTATTTCAATTGGTACCAACTGAGTTGCAAACTTTATCAGTACATCTTTTTATTTTTTAATGTCATAAAAATTTTATAAACTTATTAACTTCCCGGGGAGAAGTTTATGTTTTCATCAAAAAATCTTATTTGCTAATTTTATATTTTCTCGACGTTTTAAGCCATTCTGAATCGAATGAGACCAAATTTGGAATAAGTATGTGTGTGTGTGTGTGTGCGTGTATGTGAACAGATTTTTTTTTGCCGTAAATCGACGTTTTCTCAAAAACGGCTGGACCGATTTCAAAAATTTAAAAGCCATTCGATGTATTTCGTTGAGGACTATTATTTGTCAGTTTTGTGCGACGATCGGCCAAGCCGTTTCTTTATAAATCGCAGAAAAGTGAAAAATTTTTCGTCTACGGTTTAGCCCGCAATTCTGAATCGATTTTGAAAATTCAAAAACCGTTTGAAACATATTGGTTGGGAATCGTGCTGATTAGTTTTTTGGTAGAGTTCGGCCGGGCCGTTTTCTTGTAATAAAGTTTAAAAAAAAAGTTTTTGACGATTTTTATGATTATTTTTTTGACGGTAGATACCATAGTCTTCTAGATCATACTAAAATTTTACGGCCCTAAGACAACTCGTTAAGCTTTAAAAATTCGTCAAAGTTTGCAAAAATTAGTATGGTCTTTTTGGCATTTGTCAAAATTAGAATTTTCATCGACGTTTGCTCAAAAACGCCTGAACCGATTTCAGAAATTTAAAAACCATTTGATGTATTTTGATGAGGATTATCGTTTTTCAGTTTTGTGCAACGATCGGCCGAGTCGTTTCTTTGTAATTTGGAAAAAAGTGTTAAACATTTCGTACACATTTAAGCTCTTACTACCGAATCGATTTTAAAAAATCCAAAACTGTTCGAAAGATATTAGTTGGGAATGATACTGATTAGTTTTAGTTGAAAATCTACCGAGCCGTTTTTTTGTAATTAACTGCTGAAAAAAAAATTAAGCAGATTTTAACGTTTAAAGTCCTGTAAAAAACTGGCTCAATTATAAAAATTATTGATTTTTGAAAATTTGCTTTTAAAAAAAATTCCGACCGGGTTGACGTGCTCGATTTTTAATAATGTGTAATAAATCCACTTTGAATACTTTTAACTACTCATAAATTAATATATCTATCATGGATTAAGTCGATTATTTACCCATTTTGGGAAGTTCATGTAACTTGCCTCCAGGCAAAATACCAATACCAACTAGTTTGGTAAAACATTTATATTTTTGCCCAAACTACCTAAACACATTCAAAAAGCTCTCGAGCACTTTTGTTTGCTTGAAGGCGCACTTTTGGAGAAAAACAAAAATTTCCGCTGCCGGACTATCGGGTTTTGGGGACTGTTGGGTGCCGGATTAATGGATTTCTACTGTACTGTAATTGATAACATTTTTTGTTTGAATTGTTTTTTTGAATATAGAAATTGAGTCATTCCTATAATAGAGCATATTATTATAATTAAACAAATTTATTTAGAATAGTGTTTTATATTTAAAAGTCTCATCATTTGATCAATAATATTAAAATCATCTAAAGTACATAATAAAATGTACTTATATCTATGTTTTTATTATTATTTTATAATGAAACTTACACATTACATATTTTCATCCAACAGGAAGATCGCTACAATGATCCACTCTCACCTTCTTATGCTCCACTCTCACCTTCTTATGCTCCACTCTCACCTTCTAATGCTCATCGGTATGGTTCTGCAGGAAGCATTGGTGTTTCATCATGGTCAACAGGAAGTCAAGAAGCTGGTATTACATCTGCAGCCAGAGATGACCGGGAATTATCTTCAGTATCATCGAATGGTTCTAATTTGCATAGGCGAAGTCAGGAGCCACCAGAACCTGATAGAGGTAATATAATATTCGAAATGTTCATTATATCAGTATTTTACATGAATTTGTTCTAGTGAAATCTATTTTATATATTTCTGCATCTTATTAATCGGTATTCGGCCGGATAGTATAAATGGTACCAAATATTCCAAATAACAAAGAGTAGCCGAATAGTGGTTCCAAGTCTAGGCATAAAACTTAAATAAACATGTAGCGCGCTAGTAATATAACAATTACTGATAGTAATTCCATTAATACAAACGAGCTTAGGCCCCAAAAACCTGCCGAATATTCGGTATTCGGCATTTTGCCGAATATATTATTTGTTGCAAGCAATTAATATTCTTTAAATATTATATTACGGTACGGGTCGTTCCAGCAATTTGCCTTAAGGCACGGTTTACAATAAAATAAAAAAACAAAAAAGATATCGCGTCACTCAAAGTACGAAGTTTTAGATCATTAAATCAGTCAATTCAGATCAGTGAACATCAGGATATCTAAGAATTGTATGTTTTAATTTTATTTCATCTATTTCATTATTATGTTTTATTTTATTATTTTAATTTTAGGCGAAGTCTTGCGTCATTCTGCTCGACTCAAGCTGATTATAATTTAAGGGGCACAACTAGTGTAACCGCCTAAAAAGGAGGTGATTTTTGGGAATTTATATTAAAAAACCTACTTTATCAATCATTTCAAAATTCTAAAAATATATTTATACATGTTTTAAGAATACATAGTAAAATTTTTGAAGAAAAAAATTAAATAGTTTTTAAGTTATCGTCGATCACCAACGGTGCGACAAAAAAAGGCCCTTAACTGCTGCAATGATTCCGGCCTTCTACGTGGACGAAATAAAAAAAAAAAATTCTCGTTAAACTAGATGATATTTTCTGTAAAATGAACTACGATAAAAGAAATAAATCAAAAATTGACAAAATGGCGGCGTTTTTTTTTAAAAAAAGTCGAAATTTACCCAAAATTTTGGTCGCTTTTCGACTGCCAAATTTCGATTTTTGATCCGATCAAAAAATCGATAGTTCATTTTACGGAGAACTATATACAGAACGTGTAAAACGAATTTGATAGTGATCGGATCATTCGTTTTTGAGTAATCACTGCAGCAAATTCGGAAAATGGGTTTCGAGAAAAACGCGTTTAAATATAAAATGATCGTTGTACTATATACTATATGTATACTTTTTAAACGGCTGTAACTCAAAAGCTATTTGAGATATCGATTTGAAATTTCAAAATGTTATTTTTAAGGGTGTAATCTACCGAAATATGAAAAAAAAACAAAAATCGATTTTTTCAAAATTTCACACTAGTTGTGCCCATTAATAGATTTTTTTAAAGAAAATACCCATTACGACAGTTTGACGAGTTTCAGTAGAGATGAGTACATATGAAATGCCTGTCAACCTAGTGTTAATAATGCAGATTGACAGTTTTTAATATTGATACTATAGTAGTTACCAAGAACAAATAAATATATATATATATATATATATATATATATATATATATATATAGAATTACAAAACATGTTTCCAATAGATCTAATTATTAATTTTCCTTTCTTATCAAAATTATAATTTATTTCTAATTACAGATGTGAAACGACGTAAACTGGACGCTTCATCGAAGGTTAGTATTGAAGTGAGCTAGCCTCTTTCTCTACACAATTTCCTAAGAAGTTATAGAGTTATTGCAACTTGGATTTGTGATAATCAAAACCAAATGTAAAAATATGCACGCAAAATTTCCAAAGTTGTGTTCTATCATTTAAAAGTTGTGATTGAAATAGTGGTTGTGTCTTGCCCTTCTAAATACGACACAAATTTCATGCCATGGAGAAGTTTAGATTATTCTAGAATTTCAACATAATTTCTGAAATGCAGTAAAACTAAAAGAAGATTTTTGATGAAATTTGTCAACTCGGCTGTGTACATTCATCTTTACTATTATTTTTTAAAAAATTATACAAGATCTAGTTTATCATTGTCTTTGAAAAAAAATTGTATACATTAATTAGTCATTTAGTGCATAAATTATAGTTTTCTCGTTATTATAAAACAAGTGAAAGAACTGTGATAAAATGAAGTGCTTTATATTTTTCTTTATTGTATTTTAAATATATATTAAGTATTTATTGCAATGTATGTACAGTGAAGATGTGCTTCAAATTTTAAAAAGTACCTGATATTCAAAATGCAAGATTTTTATTGTTTGCAAATGGCATATGCTAAAAATTAATATGTTCAAGAGCGATATATTCAAGATTCATCATAATTGAAACCAATAATGATATGAAAATATGACGGCTAAACTAAACTAAAACCTTAAGTTCTGATAAAGAATACATTGCATTTAGAAGATTGTTGGCGCAAGATTAATGAAGGAAACAAATAATTAGAGAATCACCATCTACTAAAATATTCATAATAAAACGAATACATCTGATTTATTCAAACTTTTTAAAAAATAATAAAATTGAAACTGAGTTAGCCATATTCAATTACTTTGAATATTTCTATCCAACGTTGCTCATTTGTGTCTAACTACAGTTCCATCTAAGAAGAACTATATAATTGAAATCAAAGTCTGGTGGCAGAAACCAAACATAATTGAAGAAAGGTAAAATCAAATGAATATATTTAACTATTATTATATCGAGAGAGAGAGAGAGAGAGATCCTATCATACCTGTGAAGAACATGGAGCTGAATTCAAGTACAAAACAAAGGAAACTGAATTTTTGATGGACATTCACTGAATTATTGTCATACGCATTGAAAGCTTTTATAAGTGAGAAAATTATGTTTATTCTTAATCATGCCATAATTACACTATGCAAGCAACATGACTTTTACAACACAAGATAACAAATTCGAGCACATTAAATAATATGAACTATTAAAATGGCTTTGGTGCGGTTCATTTATATTAAAGGAGATGTTTTAATGATGCAGTATATTTACTATAAAAGAAATGTTATTAAACACTTTCTTACAAGAATGGCTGGCACATTTTTTTTCGGAAGAAAATTGAGAGAGGAGCAATCTTATTAAAATAATTATTAATGAAGATTTCGTAACAATGAAGGAGCCAATCTCAATTCGCAGACCAAATGGTAGAAGGGGAAGTACCTGGAAGTATATGGAATATCGACAAAAAATCAAATAATCAAAATAACAAAAAATGCAAATTGGTTTATATTGAAAATTACTTGCAAAACAAATTGTGTTTCTTGATAATACGTTCTGAAATGTTTTAAAATTGCAAGTATTACAAAATTTAATGGAAGCGAGGGATCTATAAATGTTAATAAAACTAAGTCAATTCACAATAATTTTAAATGATTTCTATTTTGCTTAAAACTCATATATGTAACAATAATTGTGAAAAGGCTGCATATACTAGTATATTTATTTTTTGTTCAATGCATACTATGGAAACTCAATTTATATTTGTCCATTGAATTGGATTGGATCATTTAGGAAATGACACTGGATATTTGTATTCGTTTGGATCATAATTTATAAATCATGTTCCGAAAGACAAGATGTATCATGAATTTAAGTTTGCGTTTAAATTAAAAACTAGATGCTCAATAAATAATTAATATGGATTTCATGGTCAATATGGTTAAATAAATTAAATAGTTATGTTTGGCTACAAGACTATATCTGAGGCAAATAAGGAACGAAGAAAAAAATAAGGGATGAAAGTGATTTTAAAAGAATTTTTGTTCAAACATGGCCTAAAACATCAGGAGAATCATATTTATATCTATGGTAGAAATCCTTTCAAATTCAAGTGGTGGTGGTGGATTTTAATCAGAATTGAAGAGAGTTTGAGGAACAAGTTTTGGTTGTATCAAAGAGGGTTCCAACAAGTGATGCTTCAAAAAAAAAAGTATGCAGAATGAGTTCATGCTGCTAATGTTGTGATAAGTGGCTGTTTTAATCGTGCCTGAATCTATTATCTCAGAATTTTGTTTTACTATGAATTCATGAAGACTACAAAATAAAACAACCAAATCAAAATCAATGAAAAATCTAAGTTAGTGGATAACAAATCAAAATAATACAAGTATCAAAAGATCAGTAAATAAAAAGTGGATGCAATATATTGACAACTTGGATTTACATCTTCGAAATCAATATGTTTTGATTATATACTTGATAATTGAAATTGAGTGAAAAAATACAAATAATAGTATTATGCAGAGATTTTTATCAAGATAATTAAATTACAATTGTCCAGAAGAAAATTCTAATCGTAATATATTCTGTGCATATTTAATTACTCTGATTTTAATCTAATAATTAAATTCATGAAGATTCTTAAATAGACAGAAAACTAATTGAGCAATTAATATCCAATTGTTATTAAACATTCAGTATTAAATAATCAAGAATATAAAAATGGATCTGGATTGTTTGAATCACTAAACTAAAAAATCATTGTATTTAAATTAAATAAAGAACGGACGTACTCATAAATATTGCCAAGAATATACTAATCAAGAAAATATTAAGTTGAAGTCATTCTATGGAAATTTAATGCTACAGCTGCTTGACAATTGTGTTGTATCTAAAAATCTTCTATCTATTGGTATGAATTTGGACTATGATTCAGTTTTGATATGCCCCTTCAATTCATACAAATACTTCTTTTAAGGTGAGTTGAGATATTATCTTCAGAATATATATTTTTTATGCTCTGAATATAATATTTCTACACATGAACACCGTCATTAATGAAAATCGATCATAAATTACAAACAATATTAAATTGATTGTATATAAAAATACTTGTTTGACAAATTTTACAAAAATTGTCTATTTCTAACTTCATTTGGTTTGTTACATTATTATCGTTTATGATAATTCAGAAATTATATAGCTGTTGCTTTTTAGCTGTTTAACTTATTTTCAAAATTTGTTTTGGCAGATTGTTGGAAGTAATTTAATTATTACTTTCATTCTGGTTTTCACTAATGAGTACTAATTTTTATGTCTGTTAAGATATATTGTTTGAAGAGTGCTATTTTATAATCACTGCATAAACTTGATGTTAATCCTATAGCGTTAACAATAATTTTGATTCATATTTGATATAGAGATTTCACAATCAGTATACTTGTTTATTTTGCAAAATACAGTTTTCACATATTTTTCACTTAATTGCAATTGCCGCGCAGTATGTCTTAAACTTTATTATAGGTAATTATTATAGTTTTTATTATAGGTAATTATTATAGTTTTTAGAATAAGTTATCCTATCGAATAATGTTATAAATATTTACGTATTTATATCAAAGCCTTGTCTTTTCCCAATGATATGATTTGATAATCATAATTCTTATATGTCTCCAAACAGTCTGGTTTTGTGCAAATTTTAAATTATGAAATTCTTTAATGTGTTCTATGGAGGAAAATTATCGCTTGTCTAATTTTCACAAAAGAAAATTGCTTTTACAACACAAGATAAGAATTTCGAGGATATTTTTATATTTGGGTATGAATATTTGGTATAAAATTTGAAGAATATGAACTATTATAATGGTTTTAGTGCGGTTTATCTATTATAACAAATGTGTAACAAATTATAACAGATATGGAATTGTTTTTAAAAACTTTCTTGCAAGAATGGGTGGTTCAATTTTATTTTCAGAAGTAAATTGAGCAAAAGCAAGCTTTATTTTCTCAAATTTTCATCATGTGTTTTCCGGAGGGAAATTATTGCTTTTCTAATTTTCACAATTTTAAGTGATACAATCATTCAGCAACATTTCTTCATTGGTATACGTATTAGAAACTTTACATTATTTAGTTGTTATGATGCGAAAGTTCTCCTCTAGAGCACTTATTCAGTTATTTTAATTTGTCGTGGACATATTTTTTTTTTTTTTTGACAATTTATTTTTGTTAATCAAGACTTTAATGTCTTATTTACAAAATTGATATGAGGTGGACATATAATCTCGTATTTATTTTCTCCAGTAGAAAATAGTTGAGATGAGCAAACATTAATGTACCAATATAGCAACGTGTATAATAGCACCAAAAATATCTGGTGCTTTGGTGAATTTCTCAGCACTTGGGAGAATGAGCCAGTATTTGTTGAAATCATGACATCATCATCTCCATCAAGCAGAAAGGGCGCAATAAGCGCGCGATCACATTCATTGCATATCTTATCTTCAGAATCACAGCGGCGGAGCGGGCAAACAAAGTGCGGGCGCCAATTTGGACGCGGACATCAAGTCGACGACCGAGAGCAGGAAGGAGCACAGGGCCAAAAATAAAGATAAGGACAAATTTAATATGGCGGTCATTGGAGACGATGATCTCAAGCTGAGGAAGGAGAGAAAACTTGGCAGGAAGAGGGTGAGTTTAACTCATTTTACTGACAGTGCGAACTGATTAAAACATATTTTAATCGGTCGAACCGTTTCTTCGCAATTAGCGGAAAAGTAAAATTTTTTGTCAACGTTTTACCCCACAATCTTGAACCGATTTTAAAAATTCAAAAACTGTTACTGAAAAAAATTGATTGGGAAACGTGATGGTTATTTTTTGGTAAAGTTCGATCGTTTCATTTCTTTGAAATTGAATGTTAAAAACATTTTTTTGTAATTTTAATAATACGTTTTACGACGATAGAGTTTCTGGACTTAATAATCATTCTAAAAAAAACTAGCTGTAAGTGTAATTCTGTCTTAAGGCAATTAACGCATCGTGCCTTAAGGCAAATTGCTGGAACTTCCCGTACCAAATATTATTATTTTTTTTAAAAAATTAACATTCTTGAAAAAATTTTACTTCGAAAAAATAAGATTTTTGAGAAACTATAAATTGGACAAAAAATTACTTTTTTTGAAAAAAAAATTTTTTTTAAATCTTTTTTTTTTTGAAAAAAAATGTTTTCTTTATTTTGACATATTTTGAAAGATCTGAACTTTTTTTCAAAGCAATCGTACGGCTTTAACTGCATATGGAGACAAAATATAAAGCGCGTAAGCGCCGCGTCGCCGTCTAACGGATAAACATTGGTACGGAACCCATAGGAATGTAAACAAAATTTATACTTATTGTTAAAATCTCTATAAAATATCTGATAATTTGATGTGCATATGTCTAATGTTTATTTTTGATCGCCAAATGTCTCATTTTTTTTACTTTTTCCCCCATATCTCCAAAGTCGTTGGACTTGCCTTTCCAAAAATTTGAACAGTTTTTTATTTAGTCAATAGAAATTTGACTTTGACGTTTTTTGAATTATTCAAATCGGACGCTCCGTTCTCTTAAAAACTGAGTTACCGTTTTTGGCACTTTTTGCCCCGTATCTCCGGAACGGCTAGACCTGCCTTCTCCAAAAACTAATCAGCACGTCTCCTTATCAATACGGATCGAATGTTTTTAAATTATTCAAATTGCTTCATCCGTGTTCTCGAAATCGTCGACGAAAATTTGTATCCGCAAACACATACATACTACGCACACACACACACATACATCCATTTTTTCTAAGGTATGCCAAAATGTTCAGAAACCTCTGAAACGTAAAGATATATAAAAATTTTCATTTGCGATTTTTTTGCGATTACTATAACTTACCCTACGGGAAGTTAACTAGTTGTAAGTAGAATTTTGCCTTATGTCAGGTTGCATGAACTTCCATAAAAATTAAATAATCGATTTAATAATTAATATTTTTTAAGTTCCCGAAATGTGTAATAATTGACTTAATTAACCGAAATTGAAACTTTACAGACACATTTTAATTATTACATTAAGATATAATAAGAAACGGTAGTTACATTGAAGGCTTGTAAATTTTTGAAATCGGACCGTTTTTGGAGAAAGTTTTTGAGAAAACGTGGAAGAAAGATCAAAAATCGACTTACATTCACAAACACAAACACATACTTTTACTAATTTTGGTATCATTCGATTCAGAATGGCTTGAAACGTCAAGAAAGTTAAATTACAAACGTATTATGTTTTGTTAGTTACATTTTTAAGTAAAAAATATTAAAAGAGTTAATTATATTGAATAGATTTTGTTTCTCACTTTCCAAAGTTTTCCGCCCTGGACACTAGCTCCGGCTGCCCCTACTATAAATCCATCATTTCCTATCTGTATACCTGTATCAGATCAACCTGCTGTTCTGTCTACCTTTCTTCATTTCTACCTTTATACCTGTTTACATACTCTGTCTATCTATTCACCACTAATTATATTTAACTATGAATCAATAATAATGATTTTTAATGATAGTGTTTGAGCAACACATGGCAATTTAAAAGAAAGTTATCAATTCTTCATTCCGTCTATCACAAGCAAAATATTTTTTAAATCATTATTGCACTTTTCTCCATATCTCCGAAACGTCTGAATCTGCCTGTGGCAAAATCTAATCAGCACATCCTCCCTATCAACACGCATCGGATGATTTTGAACCATACAAAACACACACACAAACACAAACACATCAATTTTTTCTAAAAAATACCAAAATTTTCAGAAAGTCCTGAACCGTAAAAATATGTTAAGATGTTCATTTTCGATTTTTTTGCGATTACTATAACTTACCCTTCGGGAAGTTAAATTAATTGAAATTGAGGGTAATTTTCCGTGTATGTGTTAAGAGCGTTTAAAATGCAAAATTTGTACAAAATATCTGCAATAGTTTTTTCATTATACTCATAAATTAATATGTATGTTTTAAAGCAAAATGTCACTTACACATAGTTCTTATAAATTACTAATGACGAAATTCTGTTACAGGACCGATTAGAAGAAGCAATATTACTCACAGAAAAAAGAAGAAAGGATGAAGAAAAAGGTATGCTAACCTCTATCATTTTAAAATAAAATGAAGTAAAATTAATTACAAAAAATAACTATTACAGGTAAATTACATCAAAACGGAGACCCTGACGAAATTCATCATCGGGATAAGCACCATCATTCACGCGTAAGTTTCATATATGAAGTTTGTAACTTCTAATTAATTCCTTGTAAATCTAACTAATTCTTTGTACATAATTTTGTTAAATTTTGTTTTTGCTAGAGAATTGAATTTGCCAATTTTGATTTTTTAACTTTTAAGTAATTCTGTATTTGTCACCAAAATTTGCAAAGTATGTGCAACTGCGAGTCCAAATAATCATAGTCCAGTCATTTAAGCTTAAATTAGGTAAGATTCTCGGAATTCGAGATGCCCAGCTGTAATTCTGTAAATACTTGTATATTGACACCCTAAAGTTGTCTCAAAACCTACATATGGTAGGTAGGGTGTCAATACGATATGTAGGTTTTGAGACAACTTTAGGTTGTTAATAAACAAGTATTTACAGAATTACAGCTGGGTATCTCGAATTTCGAGGTGAACCTACTATAATGACTGGACCTAAGGACTGGACTATGAAGTCATTTTATGAAACTCGTTATCACCTAATGTTGATTAGTATTTCGAATCGTTCCGCGCAACCATTTCTTTAGAATTTAACGTTTTTGCAAAAAATCCTGAACCGATTTTAAAAAGTTAGTAACTATTCAAAAGATATGATTTGGGAATCATGCTGATTAATTTAGCCTTTTGTTCATATTTGTTGAAAATTGATTAACATTTTCATTAACATTAACATTTTTGTGCGATGATAGAGTTGATGGTCTAATTATGTATAACAATATCTTAATAATATTATAGGCCTACGAAAATAGGTTTAATTAGAAATCCAATTAGTTAGGAATAAAAATAACTTAGTCCACACAGTACACACTTAACAAATGAAACATATTTTCAGAACTCAAAGTAAAATGAAATGCATTAAATAAATTATTAAATTTATTTAATAATAAGTTTGCTTAAAAGAAGTTGGAAATCGCATTGATCAGCTTTTAGCAAAAAGCCTACTTTATGTTTGAAATAAATAGTTGAAAGTTTTGTCAAGTTTTAGTTTTTATTGAATCAGTTGATTATTGACACATTTTATGCATTTGCCTTAACCAAAATTAATTTGTATCTTGATTTGTAATTGCTTTTCTTTAATTTCTTAATTTTCTAAATGCTTTATTTTACAGGAAAAGTCACCTTATCTCCAAAAAAGAGATCGAGGGCATGATAAACCATACTCATCAAAAAAACAATATTATGATTACAATGAAAGGTATTATGACTAAGATTTATTATTCTTGAATATATTCTGTCTGAAGTAAACAGAAACAATGAGATGAAGAGATGAAGAGATGACGACAATTAAATTTTAGCTGATAATTTACCAGAAAATTACTTTTAAATTGTGTATAGATCAAGATATGAGGTAGAATATAAGATGCATATTTTTTTAATTTTAATGAAACTCTAATTGTAAGTACAACCCAGATGTAGATTTAAAGTGTTTTATATAATGTACATGTTTGTTTTAACATATTATCAATAAATGTTATAAACTTGGTTCATTTATTTTGGTTTTACAGCAGGGAATACAATACATATCAATACCTTAAACTAAAGAAGCTATAATGGTCTGTAAATTTTAAATTACTATTGATGTATCATCTAATTTCAAATGAGAAAAAGTGAATTTAAATTTTTTAGTTCAAACTTACATTTACAAACATTAAAGAAATGATATTGAATAATAAATGTTTCTAGTGTTTATGTGAAAATCCCCTAATATGGAAGCTCTTGGTGTCATGGTGCTAATATGCTGGTAAGCCAATATTTGTTATAGATAATATGAACACACTTATTTAGAAGTACATTTAGCAAATGAGAGTAGGCAACGGGAAATATATAGTTAAATAAAACTGATAATTAATCTATAATATTTTATTTATGAACGGCATTGCCATTGACAATAATATTTACATAATCACTGAACTTTTTTGAAATAATTTCATCTCCGGGAGCACAAAATGGATTGCAGATTGCATTACTGTACAAAGAATGAAGTCTTTTGAACATTGTTCGAACCTCGTTGTCACGTAATGTAGTGCTGGATGAATTTATAACAATTATAAATTTAACTTTGGTGTTCGTGACGTAGCCAAAGATTTTATAAGTTTCAGTCGAGTATAATTGGCCAAGGTACAATTCTTTGCTGTCCTTAACAGCACTTAATCGTTCTTCCACAACATCGAGAGCGGCATGAACTTCGTATTGCAGCTCGAGCTCATTGTCCGAGTCTAAACAAGAAAAGAATCGTGGCGCGTTATTTTTACCAATTATTGCAACGCACACTGCCATCAGGAAGTTATAAGATAGTAGTAGTTTTTCCAAACCAAATCAATCTAACCAAATAAGTGAATTCGACTATTACTGTGTCCTATTAATAATTGTTAATTTTGTGTTAAATATGTCACTATTTGAAGAGAATTATATATTTATATTATCTATGCAGGTATGTACGATATTATAGGTTATGTATGTTTTGACAATTCACAATCAGTTATCAGAATCAGTCATCTATGCAACGGTTCAATCAAGCTTTATTTTAGCTAAATTAAAAAAATCAGAATTTTATTATCGCTAAAAGATGATATAACTAGGCGTTAGTGGCGTTTTGCCTTAAGATTACCCGAAAACCCGATATTTGTAAATAATCGACTTATAAAAATTGACATTTAGCAACGGCTCATTATTTCAAACTTCAATGCAGTGGTATCCAACCTTTTTTGCACCGCGCCCCCCTGCTCTAATAAAAACAATTGTTGCGCCCCCATTAAATTTTGCAGCAATTTAATTTTATAAATACTCAACTGGTATTACCTGGGTTATTTTTGAAAATGGTACTTTACTATGGTACGCGACCACCATAGAACAGCTTGGCCCCCCATGAGGAGGCGCGTCCCGCAGGTTGGAAACCGCTGCTTCAAATGAGTGTTTATAACTAAACCATTTTTGGTAAGCCTATAGTTTATGGTTAAAATTGAATTCAACAATTAATTATTCAATTTTAACCATAAACCATAGATAAAGAGTATAAAACCATAAACTATAGGCTTACCAAAAATGGTTTTAGTTATAAACACTCATTTGAAGCAGCGGTTTCCAACCTGCGGGACGCGCCCCCTCATGGCGGGCCAAGCTGTTCTATGGGGGTCGCGTACCATGGTAAAATAAATGTAATTATAAAGAAACCGCTCGGCCGATCTTTGCCGAATATTAATCGCCAACATTCCCAAAACTGATATATTTCAAATCGCTAAAAAGGTTTAAGCAAAAAATATTCAGAATTCGAACGTATTAGCCAATTATAAAGAAACCGTTTGTCCAATTGCCTATCGCAAAATTGATCAACTCGATTTCTTATCGAGTTTCATCAAACGGCTTTTAAATTTTTAAATCTCTGCAGCCGTTTTTGAAACAACTTCCTGAAGGAGAAGTTTATGTTTTCGCCGAATAATTCGGCTTATATTTTTGACCTATTTTTGTGTCAAGACATTCTGAACTGTTTGAATCGATCCGATGTCTGATTTTCTTTAGAAGAAGGAAATAACTTTTACTTATGCCTTACGTTTCGATATTTCGAGCTCAAAAGTATAAACATAGATAAAAAAAGACCAGTGGCGTCGGAACCAAATTTTTGATGGGTGGGCTCTTTTTTTTTGATAGACATGTTTATCAGCCAGTGGGTTTTTTTTTAGAGATATCAGCCCATATAATTTTTTGAAATTGATGGGTGGGCTGAGCCCCCCCCCCATCAAAATTCATGGGTGGGCTCAAGCCCACACAGCCCACACGGTTCCGCCTTCCAGTGGCGGATTAGGCTTTCTGCCGCCTTAGGCCCTATCTGATTTACTTTTTTATTTTAGCAAATATTTTTATATTACATCACTAACAATTAGATATAATTTTTGGCTTCCCGAAGCGTAAGTTATAGTAATCGCAAAAGAATCAAAAATTATTTTTTTTGCACAAATTCACGTTTCAAAATCAACATTTTTGTTTATTGAATATGGTATCAAGTTAAAACTTACTAATGGACTAATCACGTTTTTCTTTTTAAACACATTTTACCTGAATATGAAATCAAGTTAAAACCACATGTACTATTCACGCTATTTTAAATATATTTATATCAAAAATTTGGCATAGTTTTTCTAAACTAATGTTATCTATCAGTTAATCAGTAATTTCGAAATCGTCGGCAAACTTTTTTTCCGCACATAGCTTACACATTACACACACACTTATCGGATACAATTTTCCGTGGACGATTTCGAGAGCGCAGATCAACCGATTTGAATGATTAGCTTTTGCCAAAGGCAGTTGCTGCCTTTTCGAAGATAAGGAGCAAAAAGTGCAAAAATGGCAATTCAATTTTTGAGAGAACCGCGAGTTCAATTTCCAAATATCTCGAAAAACATTTTCTAATTTTGGGAAGGATTTTTTCAAATTTTCTGTTTCATTATCATACTAACTATATTTAAAAGCAATATTACCACATTTAAAAAAAAACTGATACAAAAAAAAATCCGAGTTGAGAGATATGTATAGCACTATAATATACCGAGCGCAGCGCACAGTCGAGCAGTTCGACTCCCGAGTGGAAAGTGTTAAAGCATACCATTTCTAACATAAAAATCTATGATATATAAAATTGAGATTAAGCTATTGGGAACAAATTCTCAACTGTTTATTTTGAAAATAAAATTTTCACACACTTATGCATACCATAAGAGCCCCACGAACAGAAGCAAATTTCGAATTTGAATCTCATACAGACTACAAATTTGCAAAGTATGACTACAAATGATTCTGCATTATTTTCAGATCTTATTAATGAATATTCTCATCCCCTGCATAAACAAAATTGTAACAAAAACAGCACTTTTTTTCAAGTATTTATATCAATAAACATTTACACAAATTCGTTTGCGTTGAAAATATTTCAAAGTACCACATATTACCAACTAATCTATGTTACTTTCAGTTAATACTTACAAAGCTTGAATAATTTATAACTAATTCTTAAATTTTTAAAAAAGCATTTGCTACATAATGATTTAAACAGTGGTCATTTGAAAAGAAATAATTTCATTCAACAAATTTATCAATATAAATCAATTTTTTTAATGTAAATATAATAAGAATATACATAACTTAATACAGCTTATATATATTAACCAATAGTACTTCTAAATATTCTGGATTTAAAATACAAATTTGGTAAATACAGACTGTGAATTTCTTACACAGATTCTCAGAAAATGTAAAGAATACACAGCACATATTACTTATAGTGCTTTTTTTTTTAAATAAATTATGAAGTTTTTAATAAAACTGATGATACTATATTTTATTACGTAAACATGATGGTGTATCAAATTATTGTTTGGATTCTCTAATATTATCTATATTATGTTTTGTCTTACAATTGCATATATTTATTTATAATAATCGTGTTGGAATACCAAAAAGAAAAAAACATACATTTACTTTTATTATAAAATATTATGTAAGGAATATAGTTTTATGAATATTTAAATTTATCGCCAACTTCGTTCGTCCATACTTGCTTAAATTCACTTATATTATTATCTCTTAGAGTAGCTGTTTAACCCATCATATTAACTCATTTGATATTACTTAAATTTTACTTGGTATTGATTTAATATTGTGTAATTTAAATACAAGGCGTCCATTGGGCCAAACCTGAAATAAAAATGACACTAAAACATAACTATTTTATAATATTTTTCAAATGTTACAGCCTTTAAAGAAGAATAAAGCAATGAGGTGGTATATGATAGAAGATTAACTAGAATTAATAAGAGCATAGAAACAACTACATTATTTTTCACTTATATGGGTAATCTCTTGTCTGAATACATTTAATAGCCATGGATCTTCAAGCAAAACCAAAAAATCTATTTGCAAATGTTAATAATATATTTTATATGACATGATATCTTACCAGTAGCATATTGGAACATTTATTCAACAGCAGCCAGACTTATTAGTCTCGACTGGTCTGCCTTGATCAATCTTAACTTTGCTTGCGGTATCAGCAGAGCTGCTTGGTGGACCAACTCGGTTCTTGATTTCCGCAGCCATTGTCATAAATGCTTGTTCCACATTTGTTGCGTTTTTGGCTGATGTTTCCAAAAATGGCACTCCTAACTGGTCAGCATATTCCTTTAAAAAGAATGTGATTACATTTCACATAATTTGCTAAAATTAAATTTCAGTCATACTTATAACAAACAGTTCAAGGGCTTGTATTCGGAACCTAAAATATTTGTTAATTAGGAGACTACTGCTCACTTATTTAGCTTATATCAGCATTTATTGAAATAAAATTATATTCTATTGTTCTATATTCAAACTTTTCAAAGCTATTTGCTTAAGAAAAGAGTCTACTATTTAATAATTGATTTTAAACAACAGTGGGTGAACTCCAACATAAAAGCAAATTATTTTCATCTCTACAAATAAAAAATCATTTAACAAGCCAAATTATTTAACGATGAATACCTTAGCAGTAGTGTAGTCTACAACTTTCTTCGTAGTTAAATCACTCTTGTTGCCTACAAGTAATTTATTTACACTATCACAAGCATAGCGATCAATTTCTTCGAGCCATTGCTTAACATTTCCGAAAGACTCTTGATCTGTGCAATCATATACAACAATGATTCCATGTGCCCCACGGTAATATGATGAAGTTATAGTTCGAAACCGTTCTTGACCTGCTGTATCCCACTGAAAGCCACAAAATTCATTATATATATATATATATATATATATATATATATGTGTGTGTGTGTGTATGTATGTAAGGTATTTAAAAAATATTAATACACAATGCACAAACACAATGCATGTCAGAATTGTTTATGATTTCATAAATAATCAATGTTTACTGTTTAAAATTTATACTATAAATATTGATATCTTTGAAATATTTCATTATAGAATTTGTGCTATAGATAATGATACTCACAATTTGTAATTTTATGGTTTTTCCATCTAAGTCGATAGTTCTAATTTTCTGAAAAAGTGAAATATGTATTAAATATGCAAAAAATTAGACTATATAAACAAATTATTCAAAAAATATACATATATACTTACAAAATCTACACCAATTGTGCTTATATAACTTTCTGTATAAGTATCATCCTGCAATGAAGATAAACAAATCAAGCGAAAACTATTACCATATTTATTGGATATTAAATTTTATTCATACCGCAAACCGTAAAAGTAGACAAGATTTTCCAACACCTGAATCACCAATCAAGAGCAGTTTAAACAAGTAATCACTGAAAAATAGATATAAAAATGAAAATCAACTAAAACTAGTTTTTGTAATGTTATCATGCTGGCATTCAATAATCTCGGACTTGACCAATATGCAGTTGTTCTGATACAAATTTGGAAGGTTAATTATTGTAGCTCAACCAGCGTATGGAAAAAAATATTAAGAATGTATTAAACTTTCATAATATTAATACGTAATAAAAATATTGCTTTTCATGACATATGTATTATACAGTTTACAAGGTGTACAGTTCAACACAAATATTATTATTATTGTTAAAAATGAATGATTATTGTATCACAGGGTCTTTGAGCCTTCAAAAAAAATTTAAAAACTACTTTTTTTTCACTCAACACTTATTTAAAATAAGATAAGTGACATGATGTGAGATCTGTCATTCAAATACAGGTGAAAATATATGAATTCCTAAAATTCTGAAATTAAAATTGTACTATAAAATGTCAAAAAATAGTCTTCATTAAAAGTTGAAGTTTTATGATAATTTTAGTATTAATTTAACAAAAACTTGATAAAATATTTATTTTTAGTCTCTGAAAGCAATGCAAAGTTGAATCGCATTTCTTATCACTGTTATATTTTTCTTTGTGTTAATGTGTTGTCAACTTATACATTAATGACTCATAAGGTACGATTCTAGATTTTCTACACGTCGTAAAGGGGTAATCATATGATGAATTTCTTATAAAATATAATATTAACGTTTCGAATTATTTATGAAATTTGTAAGTTATTTGAGGGAACACCTAGATTTGACTATTGGTCAAGGTAAAAATGATACTGCTATGTCATTTCCACTAGCATTGTTTTTTGTACTCAAAGCATATAAATCTCATACTTACTATTCTGGATTCATTGTGGACATACTATAATTGAAACTACTTTATTCTAAATTATATCACTTGATATTCAAACACAGATTAAAGAACGCGTTGACATATGTTGGCAAAAAGTAAATGTTAAAATAATTCAACTGGATGTGGTGGAACAATGGCTACCGCCTACCAGAGACTGTAATTGACGTAACGCGAACGCAACGCAATTCGTAGAGAACTTTGCCACTTGGCAGTGGCAGATGGCAGATTGTTAACGTTCGATTGATTCAATGATCGGCAGGTGGCGACACTGGTTGTTGCAAACTTAACTTCATTTGCCCGTTGACATTTGTCTTTCAAGATTCTTTCAGTTAAAAATAGTAATTATTATATTTGCACATATCAATAGTGAAAAAGTATCTAGTGACTAATCATAAAAGTTAGAATTCATCTTATATATAAAAATGGATCGCAAAATGTGTTGGTAAGCGCATAACTCAACAACGCCTGGACCAATTTGGCCAGTTCTTTTTTTAAAATGTTCGTTGAAGTCCAAGGATGGTTGTTACGGAGAGAAAAAAACGAATAATTGCCGGGAAAACCCTAAAAACAGACCTTTTCTTCTTTAATCGAGTAGGCAACGCAATTTGTAAAAAAAACAATGATCTATGTCATGACATTTTGTGTAGTTTTTGACAATCTAATTTTGAATATATTTATATAAACATAGAAATATCTTTCTATTGATCAAGCTATATTGGCAGCCAAAAACTTTGATGTAAATTAATTAAATTTCAAAATTCAAGAACAAATTACAGGCGAATCAGTTGATTCGGCAACTAACCAAGACGATCCACCGGAGTTTTTAAACTCGCTGGATTTGCTAGGATTGTCACCTCACAATCTCCAATTAAAGGTCGGATCGGCAATTATAATGTTGCGAAATATCGACCAACTATATTCAAAGTATAGTATATAGCAGAAGATGTTCTCGCACCATGCATCCCAATGCGTTTCCAGTGCGTTTATGGTATCATTAAGTGTTTGTGGTATTAATTTAGAAAACCCATGTTTCTCACATGGAAAATTGTATGTTGTTTGCTCCCGTATTGGTAAACCATCAGATTTGTTTGTCTATGCGCCAGGTAATCAAACAAAAAGCACTACAATGAAAATTGAACTGATTTTTGAATTATGATTTACATTATTAAAATTACTTACTTTTAAATGCTTATAGTGTTTTATTTAATTATTTTTAATTCACACCGAATTATTACCAGGGTGACGGTTCTGTTCAGAATAATTTTTTGCAAAGAATAGAAAAAAGGTAGGCACAAAACACCGCCACATTACAATTTTTTTTGACAGGACGAAGTCTGTCGGGCCGGCTAGTTTATAATATTTATATATTAGTTTGTAATAATTTTTTTTATCCAGTTTCGTATATGAAGATAGTAAAAAATAACCGGTACAAGTAGTTATTTTGCTTGTCAGTCATAATGGTTTTCGTTTATGTAAAAACTAATGGTACATGACGTCGTGCCTTAAAGGGTTATATACAGTTTTTCTAAAAATTGACTTTTTTATTTTATTTTCTGAATGTACATATATTTAAGAATACACACAAAAAAATCATATCATTTTGGTAAATATTTTCGAAGTTGCACGCAAATTTGAAAACCATTATTAGAAGTTTTCGAATTGGTGGTGGGTCTCTCCTGAATTGGCCCTGGATTAAATGACACCATGGCAGATGAAAAAAAAAATTTTTTTTATCGCATGTAATTTGCTTTCCAAACTTTAAACGCGTTTTTCTCGAAATGGTGTTTTCAAAATCGGTGACTAACATATCTCGAAAACAGCTAATCAATTTTGACAGGATCTTCTTAAATATATTCTTTAGTTACGATTAATATTTTGGTTTTTATAAACAATTTAAGGTCAAAATTTTGGCAAAAACCCGTTTTTTTTAAGTTAATTAATTTAATTTAACATTTATTTAATGAAATCTTTTTGATTTTTTAATTTTGGATGATTTACTTCAGGGATAGAGAGGTCACCGCAAAACGTGTTTTTCGAGAGGTGCTCCCGCAGATCTGATTTTTACCTGTAATTATTTTTATAATGTAGTTAAAAGATGTCTTTATATGTGTATAAATTTTTGTATCGATAGATTCAATAGTTTCCACAGGAAATATTAAGGCAAGTTGCAGAAACGTCCAGCACCATAATAAAAAATGTTTAAAAACTTAAGCATTAAATGATTAAATTTTAAATTAAATTAAAATATTTTGAAAACTTTCATTTTTTTTCAAACCGTTTTCACGATGCGTAGCTCATTTATTTAGTCCAGGCGCAATATCGAAGCTCGTAAGCGTAATTATAAATATTGGTACGGACCCAATACAAATATATGCAAAACTTGTACATATTATTAAAATTCTTATAAAATACCCGATAATTTGATGTGCGTATGTCTAATGATCATTTTTTTTCGCCAAATGGTATTTTTTACATTTCTTTCATTGGATCTCCGAAGCCGCTAGACTTGCCTCCCTAGAAATTTAACCATTTTTTTCATTCTATTAACAAGAAAATGTTATATCCGAACATACATAAATACATACTACACACACACATATATATCAATTTTTTCTAGGATATGTCAAAGTTTCAGAAACCTCTGAAACGTAAAGTTATGCAAAAATTTTCATTTTAAGATTTAGGGATTATTATTTACTATAACTTACCCTACGGGAAGTTATTGAGCGCCTTTAAGGACTATATAAATAAATTGACGTTTGAAACTATTTCATCAAATTTGTTTTATTCACGTTTTGAAGGTCTCTGAACATTTTGGCGTACCTCAGAAAAACTTGATGATTGTGTGTATGTATGTATGGATACATATGGAATTTTTCGTCCACGTTTTCGGGCGCACGGATCAACCGATTTGAATGGTTCAAAAAACATTGGATTTCTATTGAAAGGAAGATGTGCTGATTAGTTTTTGGCAAAGGCAAGTCCAGCCGTTTCGGAGATACGATGCAAAGAGTGCAGAAAATATAAATCGATTTTTTGACAGAACATTGGAGCATCCGATTTGAATGATCCAAAAAACATTCAATTTGTAATGACGATGAGAAGTGGTGATTAATTTTTGGAAAACGCAGGTCCAGCCGTTTTGGAGATACCAAGGTAAATAAGCAAAAAATTGCAGTTTTTGAGAGAAATAAGCATCCGATTTGAATTATTCAAAAAACTTTCTTTTTTTGTTGACAAAACAATTGCTTTTGAAAAAAAAAATTCAATTTTGTTTTTTAATTTCCATTTTTTTTAATATCGAAAATAAATCGAATTTTAATTTTTTTCTAGCTAAAGTTGTAAAGCTCACTAAAATAAATAGTTTTAACTTTGCAATTAAGTTTATATAATTCTTATAAATATTAGACAAATGTCCTTCATTTTGAATTCGATTGATTAAGTTTTGTTTATTTAGTTTCCTGTAAACATATATATTTGAAAAAAAAAATGAAAACATTTAATATTCCTCGAATATTTCATTACGGTACCGGAAGTTCCAGGAATTTGCCTTAAAGCACGATGCCATTCACCACTAATTTTTATCTCTTCTACTATCCCTGTGTTTACAATTATAATAATTATTTGCGTTTGGGTTTCTTTATTCGTGTCGTTAATCATATGAGGCAGCAATTATTAAGCAATATTTCTCACTTCGGAATCTATTACTAGTGCTTGGCTTTGACAATATTTTTTTATTATTTGTACAGCTATCAGAACTATTGCAAAGCTCTATGAGCTCATGAAATGTCGTTTTATGTGTTTTTTATTTTTTAATACATACTTCCAATTGTGATTTGGGTCTTTATTTTCAAACGGTTGCAAGGTTGAAGGTCAAGCCACCATTGCAATACAAACGCTTCTATCATTTTTTGTTTGTTTAACATTACAAATTATACAATTTCTGAATACTTTTAGAAAACTTTAGAATACCTGGAAAAAGAGTGGTCATATGTATTCAAGGTTAATCAGTATTGTTTTACAACTTGGTATTTTGCTGGTATTTGTAAATGTTGTTGTATTTTGGTCTACTTATCTTATGTTTTCAGTATTCAGTAATGAATATCCCTATAGATAATTGGCTATGTAGTAATATTAATAACTGTTTTTCATATCAGCGAATATATTTATGAATTTATGCTACATATAGAGTACATGAATTCCTTTCAGTATTTTTATTATCATTTTCAACTTTAAATTAAATTGGTCCCCAATTTCAGTAATAGTGGAGATAGATATACGAGGTGTGTTCAAAAAGTACCCGGAATTACTAATAATTAAATTTCGCGGGTCTGGAGTGTCTGATTGTCAAAATTTTTTTTTTATTGTGTTGGTATACATGCCCCTAAAGTATGATGAAATTTTCAGCTATATTCACTGTTTACTTTGTCTGTGGTAGTCGCTAAGGTTCGACGTGTTTTTCTGAGCTCGGCGATTTTTACAATGGAAGAATTGAAAAGTCAAAGAATTTGTATTAAATTTTGCGTAAAAAATGAAATAAAGTGTTGCAAAGTGCAAAAATTCACCAGATATGGCTCCGTGTGACTTTTTCCTATTCCCAAAGTTGAAGAGACCCATAAAAGGACGGCGGTTTTCCTCGATTGAAGAAAATCGCTGAGAGTGCTCAAGGACATATCAAAAAGTGAATATCAAGGGTGCTTCGAAAATTGGAAAAAACGCTGGCATAAGTGTATTATATCTGGGGGGGACTACTTTGAAGGGGACCACATTAATGTAGACGAATAAATAAATATTTTTTTGAAAAAACGAAAATTTCGGGTACTTTTTGAACAGACCTCGTATGTACAAAAACCATTAAAAGTTCTTGTTTTATTTTGGAGTATTTACAACGTTTGATTTTGGTATTCTATACTTTATTTTAAAATTCAATTTTTTACTTGTATTTTTATGCTATTTCAAATTAACAATATAAATTATAATTAATTTTAACTGAACATTCCAAATTTTAAAAAGTTATTTTAGAAAGCTCTTTTCTTCATTGAAATTAGAAAGAATCAACAGATTCATGAACTATTCCTTCGACATTTTTCACATTAACCTTAGTTCAACTGGTTAATTTCACTGAATCTATCATTTCTTCCACGATTTTACCCATGTTTTAAAG